ATTTCTTTTAGAATTTCTACATTAAATTATATTCAAAATTTCAATAGTTTTTGTTAAACAAATATTTAAAAACTTATTGTTATTTATTATAATTAAAAACCTATTGTTATTTATCTGACCAACGGGAATTCAAATTTCAAAATACTTTCAATGTAAAACCTTTTGAAATTTATTTAAAATTAGAACTGCAATTTTTCAAATTCTTGAAATATTTTCTAAAAATTTTAACTATAAAATTCTTTTTCAAATCAATTCTTTATTCTTTTATCAAAAATTTGAATTAAATTATTTAAATATAAAAATAAATAATTGATTATTTCTAAATAAATATTTGCCGAAATTGAATAATGCATTTGAAAGTAAAGAAAGAAATAAAAAGAAGAATATAAAACAATAAAAAATAAACAAAAAAAAAATGAAAAACTGAATAAAGAAAATTTCTTTGCTTGAAAATTAATATTTTTCCGTTTTTTGTATAAAGTAAACAGTATTTCGATTATTTTGAATATAATTGGCCTAAAAACGGTAGTTTAAATAATTATTTAATTGTTTTGGCGATGTTTGTATTATTATAAATTTAACAAGATGAGTTGGCAGTTTTACAAGAATTTCGACTCGATTTTTACTACGATAAATTGTGTAATGTCATAATGAAAATGACCTCGTTCAGTGTTACATATTTTTCTATTTGTTTCTTTTTTAATGGTCATATTTCACGTGACAGGTGACCGTTACTTGACAATATTTATAAAAGTAGAAAGAAAAGAAAATTTTCCCTTTTTCCATCACAAATATTGCCTGTCAGGGTATCAGAAAGAATCGATACATATAAATAAAGAATATTTTAACAATCGATTTTTTACGTTCTCAATAATATTTATACACAAATACATCCTGTCATTATTGAACTCTTAAATATTTTCAAATATTAATGAATTTCAATTTTTTATTTATATTATTTTCTTATTTTGTTTTATTTAATTAAATTAATTTTATTAATTTAATTAATTTATTCATTTAATTTATTTATCATTTCATCCAAAATTTCTTTCTAATAAACATCTAACACAAATTTGATTTTTCTGCCCAAAAAAATTTTTTTTTCATTTTTTGGAGTAAAAAAATTTTTTTTCTTCAAAAATTCATATTTTTAATCGAAAAAATATAAAAAAATGTATCAAAATTTATTTTCCTAAACTTTTTTAATTCAATTACTTGAAAGAAAGAGAAAATGTCAAAAGAATTGTGTACCGTAAAACTTTTAATCCATCCCACTCAGAAAAACATTCGAAAATAACGGAATAATATTTGTAACAAAACTTATTGTCGAACAATACTCCAAATTCCTCAAGTTTCGAACAACATTTTTTCACCTCAATCACAAGGAATCACTTAATAATGAAATAAATTTTTAAAACATTTTTCGTATTATTATTTTGTTTTCTTATTACTGAATATTTTTATTATTATACTATTATTTCTTCTTTTATCACTATTTCTTTTTTTTCTTTATGACAATTTTTCTTTTTGTGTTTTGAATTTTCAAAATAATTAAATCGTTATTTAATGTTAAGAATAAATAGAAAAAATAATTTATATTAACGCAAAATATGGTTCATGTAAAAAATTAAAAAATTTTAATGGAAAAACAAATTTAAAACTATGAAAAAATGAGGGACTAACTCAGCTGGCGAATTGTTTCAATTATTAATTATTTTTTATTTACTTTATTATTTTTTTATTATTAGTTTCAATTATTGCAATTATTATTTCAAAAAAAATAAATTGTTTCGTGAAAAATTTTGGAAAAATTCAATTAAAAATTTCAATTTTATTACAAAAAATTTTTTTTAATTAAAAATTTAAAAAAAATTTTCATTGCAAAATTTGTTTATTATTACATATAAATGAATTCTTTTGAGAAATTTTATTCAAATTGTTTTGAAAATGTTTGAATTCCTGCTAAAATTATTATTGATTACTTATTAAAAATAATTGAATTCCTGTGAAGAATGTTATTATTATTGAAAATAATAAATTGAATTCTTGCTAAGAATTCTATTAAAATTTTTGATAATAATTAAATTCTTTCGAAGAATTACTTAATTAATTTACTTCATTAGAAAAATTCCTGTGAAAAATTTTATCAACATTTTTGAAAATAAATTCAATTCTTTCGGGGAATTTTATTGAATTTTAGAAAAATAATTGAATTCCTTAAAAGAATTTTTTTAAATCTTTGTAAATAATTAAATTCTTGAGAAGAATTTTATTATTAAGTGAAATTAATTGAATTTCTGTAAATAATTCAATTAATAATGAAAATAATTAAATTCTTGTGAAGAAATTCTTTTAAAATCATTAAAAATAATTGAATTCTTTGGGAAAATTAAATTACAATTTTTTAAAATAATTTACATCTTTAGAAAAATTTCCGTGATAAATGTTATCAAAATTTTTGAAATTAAATTGAATTCTTTAGAAGAATTTTATTGAATTTCAGAAAAATAATTGAATTCTTCGAAGAATTTTTATTATAGATTTAAAAATAATTTAATTTTTTGTGAACAATTTTATCAATAATGAAAATAATCGTATTCTTGTGAAGAAGTTTATATAAATCTTCAAAAATAATTGAATTCTTTTGGAAAATTTTATTAAAATTTTTTGAAATAATTTACTATTTTAGAAAAATTTTTGTTAAGAATTTTAGTGAATTTTAGAATTTGGTATGTTTTTACTAATCCCTTTGAATTCCTTTGAAGAATTTTATTATATTTGAAAATATTTTAATTTTTTGTGAAGAATTTTATCAAGTAATTGTATTTTTGTCAAAAAAATAATTGAATTCTTTGGGAAAATTGAATTAAAATTTTTTAAAATAATTTACATCTTTAGAAAAATTTCCGTAAAGAATTTTGTCAAAATTTTTGAAAATAAATTAAATTCATTCGAAGAATTTAATTGAAGAATTTTAGAAAAATAATTGAATTCCTTCGAAGAATTTTATTAGATTTGAAAATAATTTTACTTAAATTTTTAAAAATAATTGAATTCGTTTCAAAAAATTTATATTTAATTCCGTGACAATAATTGAATTCTTTCAAAAAATTTTATTAAAATTGTATTATAAATGAATTCTTGCGAGAAAAATTATTCCTGTGAATAATTTTATTAATAATGAAAATTCTTGTCAAGGAATTCATTTAAAATCATTAAAAATAATTGAATTCTTTGGTATTAAAATTTTTGATAATAATTAAATTCTTTCCAAGAATTACTTAATTTTTGAAAATAAATTCAATTCTTTCGGGGTATTTTATTGAATTTTAGAAAAATAATTGAATTCCTTAAAAAAAAAATTGTTTAATCTTGGTAAATAATTGAATTCTTGAGAAGAATTTTATTACTAATTAAAATTAATTGAATTCCTGTGAATAATTTCATTAATAATAAAAATAATTAAATTCTTGCAAAGAAATTCAAATCATCAAAAATAATTGAATTCTTTGCCAAAATTTAATGTTATCAAAATTTTTGAAAATAAATTTTATTCTTCAAGGAATTTTTTTGAATTTTAGAAAAATAATTGAATTCATTAAAAAAAAATTTTTAAATCGTGGTAAATAATAAATTGAATTCTTAAGAAGAATTTTATTATTAATTGAATTCCTGTGAATAATTTCATTAATAATGAAAATAATTTAATTCTTGCCAAGAAATTCGAATCATTCAAAATAATTGAATTCTTTTGAAAAAATTCTTTGAAAATCATTCAAAATAATTGAATTGCTTGTGTAAATTATATTAAAATTTTTGCAAATAATTCAATTCTTTCAAGGGATTTTATTGAATTTTAGAAAAATAATTGAATTCATTCGAAGAATTTTATTATATTTTTTTTAAAATAATAAAATTTTATGTGAAGAATTTTATTTTAATTTTCATAAATAATTGAATTCGTTCAAAAAATTGTATTTAAATTCTTGAAAATAATTGAATTCTTGAAAATAATTTTATTATTAATTGAATTCCTGTGAATAATTTAATTCATAATAATAATGAAAATAATTGGTAAATTATTGTGAAGAAATTCATTTAAAATTTTAAAAATAATTAAATTCTTATAAGGAAAATTTTTATTAAAAATTTTTAAAAATAATTATTTACTATTTTAGAAATAATCATGTGAAGAATTTTATTAAAATTATTGAAAATAAATTAAATTCTTTCGATGAATTTTATTATAGTTAATTGAAAATAATTAATTTTTTTGTGAAGAATTTTATTTAAATTTTTGAAAATAATTGAATTTATTTCAAAAATTATATTTAATTTGTTGATTGTTGAGATAATAATATTGAATTTTTTCGAAAATTTTTTATTAAATTCGTATTATACTCCCGTTTATTACTTTAATAAATAAATAAATTATAAATGAATTGAATGAATTCTTGCGAGGAATTTTATTTAAAAAATGTATGTAAATAATTGAATTCTGTCGAAGAATTTAATTTAATTTTTTGCAAAATAGTAAATAATAATTTATTTATTTAGAAACAAGACAAACCCGTTATTTACTTAGTTATTTAGTTAAGGAAAGAATTTTTTTTTTAATTTTGTACCAAAAATGATTCAAAAATTGAAATTGTTTGAAATAAAAAATTTTGCAATCTATAATTACAAATTAAATACCGCCTTTATAATTACAAAAAATTATAACAATTTTTATTAATAAACTTTACTTTTTTTTTGTCTGAATATAGGATTTTCGAAGAATCGATTTTCTCTTCTTCCTATATTGAAAATTGTCCTCAATAAAAGTCAAGTGAAGTCTAGTCAAAGACTCCCACCAAGGAGTTAGTTGATGATGGAAGATCCTACTTTTTTTCTTGTCTTTTTTTTTCCTATATGTAATCTCCATTCTCTATAGTGAATCTCTCCCACCAACGTGTCAAAAGGATGCGTCATCGCCACGACTACCGCTCCCAATAGAAACCGGCGCAGCGTCAACTGCGGGTCAGGCCAACGCCGGTACCAACTTCTGCCTCACTGCCTCAGCCTGCTGCAGTTCTCCAAAAGAGTTCGAACTGGACGTGTGTTCTCCACAATCATCTAAAAACAAAATAATTTCAAACGGTAAGCGACTGTGTAATATATTATTGTAAATATATATATATCAATGCCACACCTAAAATTTTCAATCAATCGTGTCTTGGCAATTTGACAAATATATTTCTGGTTTTGTAGGTTTGTGCTTCTCTTCTTTTTTTCTAATCAATCTGATAAGATTCACATCTCTAACAGTATAAAAAAGTTTTATCTAGATAAAAAATTATCGTCGTGTGTTAATTCATCTTTTATTTGCGCTTTCCTAACTTTTTAGGAAAACAAAATTCGTAGTAGAATCAGTGAAATAATTCAAGTGAAGTGCATTTTCAGGAGATTTTGTTTTTATTTTTGGTGTTTATTTTTTTCTACGTCTTGACGTTTTTTTAACGTTTGTCGAAAAGGACTAATTTAAATTTGAAACGAATTTAATTGACTACAGTAGTTATTGTGTGACTTGTTGAGTGTACAACATTTTTTAATTAGCAATAATTGCTTTTATTTTCTTTTTTTTTTGTTTATTAAAATATATCCAACAGTCGAATTTTGTTTGTTATAAAAATTGGTTTGTTATCAATTTTTTTTTAATTATTATTATTATTAATATTAATAGTTATTTTGTATTAATTATTATTGTGCATTTTAGTTTTAATTAATAATGTACAACATCCGGAAATCTGTTGACAATTTGAAGTTTTAGTTGTTTTTGTTTCCGTTTTTGTTAATTTACTTGAAAATTTTTCGTTTTTAATAAAAAATTTGAATTTAAAATGAATTTTAAAATTATTTAAATTCTAATTTAATGTTTTGAATTAAAAATTGTATTTTTTTTATTTTATTTCTTATTTTTTTCTTTTATATTTTTTAATCTAAAATAATTCAATTCTTATAAAAAATGTTATCAAAATATTTCAGAATAATTAAATTTATGGGAGAAAAGTAATTGAAATTGTGTTAAAAATAATTTCAATTCTTATAAAGATTATTATCAATATTTTTGAAAATATAATTATTGAACTTCTTCGAAAATTTTTGTTCAAATTTTTTTTTTTAAATTCAATTTTTTCAAAAAATTTTATTAAATTTTCTAAACTAATTGGATTCCTGGAAAAAATTAGAATTCTTCGCAAAAATATAAAAATAATTGAACTCTTGCTAAGAAATTTATTTCGAATTTTTTTTTTTTTAATTTTATAAAAATTAAAAAAAAAGAATTTGAATCCTTCAAAAAATGCAACTAAAAGAATATTAAAAATATTTTTATTCTTGTAAAGAGTTTTATGAAAAGTTTAGAAAATAATTGAACTTTTGCGAAGAATATAATTAACAATTTCTTTTTTTAAATAATTGAATTTTTTTGAGAAATTTCATTACAATTTTCTGAAATAATTGAATTCACGCGAAGAATTTTATTAGTTGTGATGAAAATAATTGAAATTTTACTAAGAATTTTAGTAGAATTTTCGAAAATAATTGAAAATTCTTTTATAAAGAATTGAATTAAAATTATATTGAAAATTATAAGTGAAGAATTCTGATGAAGAATTTTAAGAAAATTTTTCCAAATAATTGAATTTTTGTGAAATTTTATTATTTATGAAAATAATTTAATTTTTTCAAATTATTATTATTATTATTTTTTCTTATATAGAATTTTATTAACATTTTTACAAATAATAAAATTTTCCCGAATTATTTTATTCAAATTCCTGAAAATAATTAAATTCTATTGAAGAATTTTATTTATTTATTTCAATTTTTAACGGGGGCTTGATTTCATAAAAATTTTCAAAAATAATTGAATTTTTTTTGAGGAATTTAATTTAAATTTTATTGAAAGTAATTTAATTCACATAAAGAATTTCATCAAAATTTTTCAAAATAATTGAATTTCCGCGAAGAATTTTTTTAAAGTTTTCAAAATAATTGAATTCTTGCGAAAAATTTTATGAAAATTTTTCAAAATAATTTGCAATATTAATTAATTAATTAAATAATAATCAGTAAACAGTATAAACTTATTAAATTTTTACTTATTTTTTACTTTTATTTATTTTTATTTATTTTTATTTGTGCATTTTTGTTTATTTGTATTTATTATCTACTATTTTTTTTAGTTTTACCAATTTTTGTTTTTGTATGAATTCTACCATTATTATTTCAAGCACCAGAATTATAATTGCTAACTTTGTTAATTAATTACTGAATTTTTGCAATACTAATTAAACTCTGCAAAAATTAATTATTAAAATTCTGAAAATTAATCAAAGTGTGAATTTTAATGCCTCAAAGCATTAGTTAATTATCTGTAAATAGAACAGAAGTAAATAAATTCGTCAGTGAACAGTCAGTTGTGTCTTTTCTTCAATTGAATATGTGACTCACATTTCTTAAGAATCAACAGGCATAATACTTAGCCGGCTACTTATTTAATATGCAGATTGAAAAAGATTGTTAACAATATTAATGAAATTTTTAATACGAAAAAAAAATTCATCATCAAAATGTATTTATCTCAAGAAAAATTATTATCTGACCTCAGAATTAAAATAACATTTATACAGGATAGCCTTTATCTCTTTATACAATACGTGTACACTTTACTTTACTTTACTTTACATTTCTTACTTCATTTAATTAAAAAAAGCAATGTCAATAATTAACCGTAATTAAATTGTTTCAGAGTGAAAGAGAAAGAAAGAGAAATAAAATGGCAGCTTCTCAGTACTATCACGTGCAGGTAATAATAAAAAGTATTTTTTCTCACAAAACTGAATAAAAATTGAAGAATAGAATCAAATTAATTAAAAAGAATGATTTTCATTTTTGAATTATGAGGTTTTTAGAAAAGTAAATAAAAATTCAAATATGTAATTAAATTAATTACACACAATTTTTTGCAAAAAGCTTAATTATTTTTTTTATGAAACGAAATAAATTTTAAAAATAGAATTAAATTAGACACAATAATTTTTTGCAATAAGGATTCTTTTACGAAAGCGAAATAAAAATTCCACAATTGGAAGTAAATTAATTACACACAATTTACCTAAGCACTAAACTTTTTTTTTAAAACGAAATAAATGTTAAAGATAGAATTAAATTAATTTTAACAATAATTTTTTTTACGAAAAACGAAATAAAAATTCAAAATTAGAAGTAAATTAATTGAACACTATAATTTTTAAGCAATAAACATTGTTTTACGAAAACAAAATAGAAATTAAAAATTAGAAACATAATAATATCATTAAAGAATTTTTTTTAACAAAACGAAACAAAAATTTTTGTAGAAATCCAAGTTTTGCTCAATTATTACTTTTTGGACTTTTTTCTACTATTTTTGAAAAAGAAAATTATTTCGATTTTTCATTGTACAAAATAAATATAATCAAATCATTCAAAAGTTATTTTTAAATAATTTTTCCAAAAGATTTTTGAATTTTCGAATGAGTATAATTTAAAACTTTTTGAATAATTGAAAATTTGTAAAATTTATTGAAAATAATTTATTTGTTTTTATTCCATTAAAATGTTTAAAAATCAAATTTTGACGAATTTTAATAGCGAATTTTGAAAATAATTGAATTTTCAAAAATTTTATTAGCAAATTTTGAAAACAATTGAATTTTCAAAAATTTTATTTGCAAATTTTTAAAACAATTGAATTTTCAAAAATTTTATTTGCAAATTTTGAAAATATTTGAATTTTCAAAAATTTTAACAGCAAATTTGGAAAATAATTGAATTTTCTAAAATTTTAATAGAAAATTCTGAAGTAGAAATTAGCTTTCAAAAAATTATATTAAAATTATTTTTTAAAATCTGAGAGTAAATTACAATTTTTTTAAATCAACATTTTTAGACTTATTACTTAAATTTTAAAGAAATCACGTGTTTTCTTATTTTTAATTGAAATTCTTAAAAAATTCGATTATTTTTTAATATTTTCTAAAATTTTTTTTAAAAAATTCAGTTATTCAAAAAAATTTTTTGCTAATTTTCCGAACTTTTTTATTATAACTTACCAAAAATCAGTTATTTCTACTATTTTCGGTCTCTTATTGTATGTGAATAATGAAATTTTTGAAGAACTTTCGAAAAATTATTAAAAATAATTTTTAAGAGAAAAATTTTAGTTAAAAATTCCAGAAAATAATTAAATTTTGGAAAGGTCATCGTTGTAACTTAGAAATACCTAATTAAATTTCAATTTGAAATTATAAATATTTTTTAAATTTTAATTCCTGTGGAAAAATAAATTATAAGGATTTGAATGTTTATTTAACTATAATTATGGAAGTTTTAAATAATAAAAAAAAAAAAAATTATAATTAATTAGTGAAATTTCAGGAAAATACAAAATTAAATTTTTTGTGACAACAATGAATAGAGTAAACGACTTTTTCTATTTTTTTTCTATTATCAATCGACTAAAGTTACTATTTCGCGCCTTAAAATCGATCTGAGACCTGGAATTAAGTTCGTTCAACACCATAATTTGTAGCATTAAACATTTTTTTATAGAATGAAATAAAAATTCAAAATTAGAATTTAATTACTCAATTTAATAATAATAACAATTTATATTAATAATCATTGTATTCCAGAGAAAATTAAATTATTTTTAAACAAATTTTTTTTAAATTCTTCGAAAGAATTCAATAATATCAATAAACAGTAAATTTTTCACTGCAGAATTCAATTATTTTAAATACAATTTTTATAAAATTCTTCTCCAAAATTCACTTATTTTTTAAAATTTTGCAAAAATTAAATTATTTGTAGAAATAATAAATTTTTTCGTCGAGAATTATTTATTTACAAGAATTTTAATAAAATTCTATTCAAGAATTCAATTATTTTCAGAAATAATTAAATTGTCGATATTCTTAAAATCATTGAATTCTTGTAAAGTATTTAGAAAAAAAATTTGAAAATAATTGAATTCATTTTAAGAATTTTATCAACATTTTTTTCAATGATCGAATTCTTTCGAGAAAATGTAATTAAAATTGTATTGAAAATAATTTAATTCTTTTAAAGATTTTTATTAAAACTCTTTAAAGTAATTGAATTGTTTTGAAGAATTTATTTCAATTTTCTTGGAAGTAAAAAGGTTCTTTTTTAATAATTTTTACTGAAACTTTTGAAAATAATTGATTTTAAAGAAGAATTTCTTTTAAGTCTTTAAAAAATCGTGTTTAGTATTAATTGCAATTTTAACGATTTTCCTATTAAATTATAATATTAAAATTATTCATAGAAAATATAATTCCTTTAATCAATTTTATTATAGTTTTTGTAAATAATTACATTTTTTCAAAGAATTTCATAAAATTTCGTAAAAATAATCCAATTTTTTTGAATAATTTTAATTGAAAATTTTGAAAATAATTGAAATTTACAAAGAATTTTATTAAAAACTTTTGAGAAGAATTGAATTGTTTAGCAAAATTTTATTACAATTTTTAAAAATAATTAAACCTGTTAGGGAAATTATATTTAAATTATCTTGAACACAATTGTATTTTTTCCTAGAAATTTGATGAAAATTGTATTGAAAATAATTTTATTTCTCAAAAGAATTTTATTATTTGCAAAAATAATTGAATTCTTGCCAAGAATTTGACAATTCATAAAAATAATTGAATTGTTTCGAAGAATTTTATATCAGAATTGTTGAAAATAATTGAATTTTTATTAAAAACTCTTGAAAATAATTGAATTTAAATAATATTTATAAAAATAATTGTATTCCTTCTAAAAATTTTATTAAAATTATATTTTAAATAATTGAATTCCTCTGAAACATTTTATTATTTATGAAAATATTTTAATTCTTGCAAAGATTTTTCTTATTTATAAAAATAATTGAATTCTTGTATAGAATTTTTTTATTTTTAAAAAATAATTGAATATTGTTTCGAAGAATTTTATCTGAATTTTTGAAAATAATTGAACTTTTGAAGGAATTTTATAAAAAAATTTGAAAATAATAATTCTTTGAAAAGAATTGCATTAAAATTGTTGAAAATAATTAAATTTATATTAAAACTCTTACAAATAATCGAATTTGATTAATATTTTTAAGAATAATTGTATTCTTTCGAGAATTTTTTTAAAAATTGTATTGAAAATAATTGAATTTGTTCTAAAGAATTTTACTATGTATAAAAATAATTTAAATGTTTCGAAAAATTTATTAAAATTTTAGGAATTAATTGAATTATTTTGAAGAATTTTATAGAAATATTTTAAAATAAATTAAACTCTTTCAATTTTTTTTTTTGACGAATATTTTAAAAAATTGCATTGAAAGTAATTTAATTTTCACATAGAATTTTTAAAAATATTTTGAGAATAATTGAATTATTTTTAGAGAATTTAAAATTCTTCTTGAAATTGAATTTTATGGAATTTTTGAGAATAATTAAATTCATTAGTGTAATTTTATTTAAATTGGATTAAAAATAATTTAATTCCTGCAAAGAATTTTAGTATTTATAATAGTAGTTGAATTGTTTTGAAGATATTATTAAATTTTTTTGGAAATAATTGAATTTTATGGAAATATTTTAATTCTTCCGAGAAATTAAATTAAAATTGTTTTGAAAATAATTGAATTCCTATAAAGAATTTTACTATATTTATAAAAATAATTCAATTCTTGTGAGAGGAAAATTCTTTTCGAGAAATGTTTTTAAAATTTTATTGAAAATAATTTAGAAACATTCTTTTTTCCTTCCAACTAATGATTATAATTATAATAATCTAATAATAATTTTTGTTACAAAACGAAATTAAAATTGAAAAATAAAATTCATTTAATTAAAATAATAATAATAATTAATAATGATAATTTGAATGGTATTTAATTGTTCGTTTCGTTTAAGCAGTGCACACCAACTGTTTATCCCGCCGATCCATTTGACGCAGAGGAAGATGCAGCTTTATTGCGTGGTGCAATGAAAGGCTTTGGAACTGACGAGAGGACAATTATTGATGTTTTGGCGCGACGAGGAATTGTCCAGCGTCTCGAAATTGCCGATAAATTCAAGACCATGTACGGCAAGGACCTTATATCCGAATTGAAGTCAGAGCTTGGGGGAAATTTCGAAAATGCTATTATCAGCCTGATGACGCCACTGCCAGAATTTTATGCCCGTGAATTACACGATGCAATTTCCGGAATGGGAACCGACGAGAATGCAATTATTGAAGTTCTTGCCTCCCTCAGTAATTATGGTATCAAAACAATATCTGCCGTCTATAAAGAAAGTAAGTTTTGATTCTCCTCCCCCTTTTTTTACAAACTTTTATTAATCAGGCAATAGTAATAATTTTTGAGTCTTTGTGCTAAAAAGTGGCACTAATTTTACTGCTTTCATTCACTTCGTTTTTATTTTCAATATTTTCATTTTTATTTCATTCATTTCGTTAAATGGAACTAAAATTATTTTCCATTTAACGATTTAACTAAAAATCCTTGAAAATATTATCTAATTTTTTTTGGTTTTGTAGAAAGAAATTTTTTTGTCCCTTAACGTCGACGCTAAATTCTCTGTAAATTAAAATTTGGATAAATTATATTTTCAATGGATTAAAATTTTTATAAATTGAATTTTGGATATTTAATTGTAGTAAAGATTAATTAGAATCAGAATAAATTTAAATTTCGATAAATGAAAATTTTAATCAAAAAATAACTCAAGATTCATGAAAATTTGGACTAAAGTAATTTTAAGTCGATGAAAAATTAAGATAAATTGAATCATTTATATAAAAATATAAAAGGCGAAAATCTATATGAATTATTTAACTTTTGAATAAATTTAAAAAAAAAATTGTAATTAATTGTAAAAAAATAAGTATCTAAATATTTTTACTAATTCAAATTTAGAGAATAGATTTTTTATTTACCTTTTTTATTTACCAAAAAGTCGAAATTAAAAAAGCAGTGAAATGGAAATTGTTACTTGTTAATAAGTTTCCTGTTGATGTTCATAATGATTCAAGTTGATATTTAGTTTCACATGAAAATCGAATATTCCGTTTTGTATTTCGATCGAAAATGAATAAAATTATTATTATTTTTTTTTTGTAAAACTCTATGATTTTTATTAAATTGTGTCCTTGGGGATATATAGGCGTTAATAACCTTGGAGGATGAAAGAGTATAATGAAGCGAGATTCCTTCGTACTCTGTACAAGTTCTATGAGTCAATTATCGTCGTCAGTGTTAACCTTCGGAATTCCTAAGCACACCCATCATGTTATTAAACGCATCAGAGCTGAATGCGTCACTTGTCGCTTGCATCTTTTTTCTCCAAATTTTGATGATTCATTTTATTTAAATTACAAGGGATCACAGTTTTTTTTTTTTTACTTAAAAATAGACGAAACGATTAATTGTTTTCCGGAAATAAGTAACAAAAAAATTTCACATTCAAAATAATAAAAATGCAGTTTTAATTCTATAGAAATTTTCGGTTGAAGTAGTTTTTTTGAAACGTATTTTTTATTTTTTATTATCTAAAAATTCTTTTTCTAATAAAGGTGAATTTCTAAGAAACTTTTTCCTAATGAAGGTGACTTTCTAATTTTTTTTTTCTTTTAATAAAGGTCATTTTATAAAAATTTATTTTTCTAATAAAGGTAATTTTCAGTTTTTTTTCTAAAAATATTCAATTTTTGTAATGACGATTATTAAAAAATAAAATTTACGAAAATTTAGTAATTCTTTAAAAAAAAAAAAAAATAGGTTGAGATTTCGTTAAAAAATTATAATAAAAGATAGAAACTATGCAAATTTTTTAACAAAATTTTTAAATAATCTAGTCAAAAATCGTAATTAACAAATAGAAATTATAGGGAATTGTTTCCTAAAAATATTTAAATGTTTTTTAAATAAATTAATTTTGGATATTATGGTACAAAAATGATGCAAATTAATATTTTTTTTTTCAAAGAAGAACAGAATTTTGTCAACAAATTGTGATAAGAAATAGTAAATTTTATAAAAAATTTTCTATACTTTCAAAAACAATCTTATAATTTTGTAAACAAAATTATGTTTGAGAAACAGAAAATATGCAAAATAGTTACTATGTTTTAAACTTAATTTTTTTTCACAATTTTCTAACTTTCATCAAAATTATAAAATTTTACAATTTTTAGGAAAATAAATATTAGAAATCATAACTTTTTAGAAAAACCTTTTTTAGAAATTAAAACTTGTTAGAAAATTTTTTTTTTGAAATTGCTTTTTTTTATACAAAAAGAATTAGAAAATATTTTTTAGAAAAAGTTTTAGAAAAAAATTTAGAAAAAGTTTTAAAAAACCTACCGAAGTTTTCTTTCTTGAAAAAATGTCAATTCTTTAAAATTCAAGCAATTGATTAATCAGAATCATAAAAAAAGCATTAAAATAATTATTTTTAATGCTTTTTTATGGAAAATTATGAAAGAAGTTCAAATAAATTTCGAAGAATTTCAAATTAATTTTTCGAGAATTAAGTTCTATTAAAAAAATTATTAACTAATAAAATTATTTTTAAAGTTTTTATGATGGAGCATAATTAATTAACATTCATCTAAAGCAACGGAAATTTTAATAACTCAAAATTCCAGTGGTGCCTTCCCTTAAAATTAAAAGGAATTGAAATTTAGATAATTTAAAATTTAGTTGAAATAAATTAAAAAACAAATAAAATTTCTAATAATAATTTTTTTTTACTGCAATCAAAATTTGAATTGATTAAAAATTGAATAGAATTTAAATTTCATTTATTGAAATTTGAGTAGAATTTAAAATTTATTGATTGAAATTTGGGTAAAATAAATATTTTGCATTAATTATATTTGAAAAAGATTAAAATTGTTATTAGTAAAATTTAAAGTCAAATAAAATTTCCATTATAATAAATTGTTTTTGGCTAATAAAATTTGGAACTGACTGAAAGTTTCTCCACTTGGAAATTAAATTGAGCTTTGAATAAAAATATAAAATCGAAATGTTAATCAATTAAAATTTGAATTAAAATAAAATTAAATGGAAATTGGGAAAAATTGAAATTTGAATAGAATTGAAATTTGGATAAATTATATTTTGAATGGATTAAAATTTTGATAAATTGAGTTCTGGACATTTAATTACAGTGGATATTAATTAGAATCAGAATTAATTATTTTAAATTTTGATATAGATAAAAATTTTAATCAAGAAATATTAACTTCAATTTAAATCAAGATTCTTGAAAATTTGGATTTAGAAAATTAAAAATCGAAGAAAAATTAAGAAGAATTAAAGTTTGGATAAATTGAATCATTTATATAAAAAGAGAATAGTCGAAAAACTATAATTTTGTCATTCATAAATTAATTGAAGCTCAGAAATATTAAAAAAAAAATTTCTTCCTAAATTAACAACTTTTTCTCCATTTCTGATTTTTTTTTTGTATTTTACACAGTATAAATTCAACAATTTTTAAATTACACCCTAAAATTTATAACCGAAAAAAGTGACAAATTATCAAAATAGAGTTGAAAATATTTGAAAATAGATCGAAAAGTTAATCTAGGTGAAAATCTGTGATCCCTAAAAAATAAATTTTCCGTATGAAAATGAATTAAAATCATTCAAAGAATTTAAATTTATTGAATTAATTTTTTTCAAATTATAACACATTTACATTCTCAAGACCAAAAATTGTACCTAGAAAGACTTAAGAAAAAATTGCCTTGTGCAAAAACCTAGAACTGAATGAGAAAATTTTTTTCAATTTTGATATTAAGTCGTTAGCTAAACGATCAATTTAATTTTCTTTGAAGTTGTAATTTAAACGAAACAAATTGATTGATTGTAGAGTACGATAATGATCTTGAGGATGATTTGAAAGGAGACACATCTGGTCATTTTAAGAGATTACTTGTTTCCCTATCATGCGTGAGTATAAATTGAATTATAGAAATAATTTTATTTTTTTATTGATATTATATTGAAAGAAATATTTTATCTATTTATTTTATAAAACTATTTTTTAATTATTAATTATTATTATTACTATTTTAATAATTATTTTTTATTATTATTTCGATAAATAATAATAATAAATAAATATATATGAAGTGAAAATACTCCTTTATTTTAAGTCATTTATAATAGAGAAGAGAAAAAAAATCTCTTCTCTAATAATAAATAATAATATTGTTAATATTATTATTCTTTATTATTAGCTATTATTAATTACTATTAATCTTGTTTACCTAATAATTTTCTTGTTCCTAATGTTTCTTTAATTTTTTCAGGCAAGCAGAAACGAAGATTCTACTGTTGATGAGGCAGCAGCCGTGACGGATGCACAGAGACTTTTGGAAGCCGGAGAAGGTCAATGGGGAACTGATGAGAGCACTTTTAATGCTATTCTGATTACGAAAAGTTTTCCTCAACTTCGCAGAATTTTCAAAGAATACGAACGACTCTCTGGAAACAGCGTGGAAGACGCTGTCAAGAGAGAATTCTCTGGTTCTCTTGAGGACGGATACCTCGCAGTTGGTAAAACAATTTTTTTTTATAATTCATAAACTACAATTATAATAACAATTTCATTATAATTTTAATATAATTAGAATTATTCATTCCAAAAATCGAAAATTGTCCTAAGGTTCATTGATACTTTTCAAAAATGCTGCAATGAAAATATATTATTTAAAAATATTTAATTATTATTTTGCGTTTTGTGACACCAAAAGTATTTTAATTTTTTTAAATAATTTTTTTACTTATTAAAAAGTATAATTATTAAAATAATTAATTTCAGTCCAGTTATGAAATGAAAAATTTAATGCAAATAAGTTTAATTAATAAATCTTAACAAATAAGTAACGAGTGGAGTGTTCAAAAAAATTCAACTTGCAATAAATTAAAAATTTAAGTATGAAAGAAATTGATAAATATTTAAGAAAGTTATTTAAAAATATTTCAATATTGAAATAAAGTAACAAATAATATTGTTTTTTGATTTTTTAAAGCATTTTTTGAAAAGCATCATACAAACAGCTCTAGACGATTTTAACTTGAATGAATAACCCTGAATAACCCTAATTATTTAATATAATTAATAAATTAATAATTACTGATATTTCTATGAATTTTATATTCGATAATTTTAGAATATTATATTTTATATATTTATTTTCAATATTTTAGTGAAATGCGCCCGTGAGAAAACTGCATATTTTGCCGAGAGATTACACAAATCAATGTCAGGTATGGGAACCGATGACAAAACATTGATTCGAATAATTGTAGCAAGATCCGAAATTGATTTGGGAGACATTAAAGAAATGTATCAAAACATGTATGGACAATCTCTCGCTGCCGATATCGATGTAAGTATAGTTCTGCAAAATTTATTTATAAAAAAACAAAATACAAAAAAAATTAGAAACAACAAAAACTAAATACTAGCTCAAATACAAAAAAAAAAATTCATCTTGTAATTTATATTAAAAGGAATAATTTTTTTATTTTTTATTACTTTTTTATTTAATTAAATTGTTTTTATAACAAAATTTTACAACAAATTTTTTTTTTGGTTTATTTGTTTCAATTCTAATTTATTAAATACATAAATTCACTTGCCCAGATTTAAAGGTCATTAATATATTTTTGTCCTTTATTTTCGTAATTAATATTAATTAAAATTTCAAGTATATAAGTTTTTCGACTTTTAAATTAAAATCGAAAATTGATTGAAAGTGCTGTTCTAAAATTTTTCATAATATTTTACTATTCGTAAGCAGAGTTGCCACAAAAATTTGATTATTGTTTTCTTTGACTTTTCCCTGATTTCTAGACAGAAGACTTTTTTCTAATCCTTTTAAAAAACATTTATAAGAATTTATAAGTAAAGAATTTTTAAATAATTGAAATTTTATAAAATATTATTGACAATAGTTGATTTTTTTAAAGCACAATTCATTATAATTTTGAAAATCAAATTTCGCAAAAAGTTAAAAAGCAATAAATAAAAAAAATATTGAATTAACTGAAATTATAATCAAAGAACTTCAAATAAAAATTAGGTTCAAAAAATTATCTTTTAAAATATTTTTTAAAAAAGTATCCTTTAGAATTTTTACACTATAATTTTTTTTTTAAATTCAGTAATTTTCAATATTTTCAATTATATATTTAACTAGCAATTTCAATTTATTATTACTATTATGCAAATTACGAAATTCTTTATTTTAAAATATGAATTTTTGAATAATTTCAGATTCAAAACTTTAAAAAAATTCAATTATTAACTAATTTACTACTTAATTATTCTTGTTTGAAAAATTCAATTATTTTCTGAAATTTTAATAGGTCCTTAGAAACAATTCAATTTTATTTATAAATAAAGTAAAATTAAATGCAAAAATTCAATTATTTTTAATACAATTTTAATAACATTTCGTAAAGGAATTCAAATTTTAAAAAAATTTTAATAATATTTTTCGTAAAAATTCAATTATTTTCTGAAATTTTAATAAATCCTTTGGATCAATTCCAAAAAAGTTTGTTTATTAAAAAATTTTTTAGTTTTTCTCTGCTCCTTAAAAAAACGATGTAAAAATTCAAAAAGATTTATTGAAAAAATAATAATTTTCAAAAGCAAACATTTTATTTACAACTTCAAAGTTGTTTACCTGTTTTTCAAATGAAAATTCATTTCTGCAGTTAACATCCTTCGATTATTTTCAAGAATTTCAATAAAATGCTTCACAAATTCAATTATTTTTAATAGAAATTTAAGAAATTTTTGTAAATTTCAATTTTTTTAAAAAGAATTCTCAATCATTTGTTTTTAAAAATTCAATCATCGTTAAAAAATATAAAATCGTTTTTAAAATATTTTAAAAACATAATTTTTTTGAATTTCAATTATTTGAAAAATCCTCAATTACTTGTTTTTAAAAATTCAATTATCGTTAAAAATAGAAAATCGATTTTAAAATATTTTAAAAACCTAATTCTTCAGAATTACAATTATTTAAAAAATTCTCAATTATTTGTTTTCAAAAATTCAATTATTCCTAAAAAATAGAAAATCGATTTTAAAATATTTTAAAAAACTAATGTTTCAGAATTTTAATAAAATGCTTAGTAAATTCAATTATTTTTAATAGAAAATTAAGAAATTTTAGTAAATTTCATTTATTTCAAAAATTCAATTATCGTCAAAAATAGAAAATTGATTTAAAAATATTTTATAAACATAATTTTTCAGAATTTCAATTATTTAAAAAATCCTCAATAATTTGTTTTTAAAAATTCAATTATTGTTAAAAATAGAAAACCGATTTTAAAATATTTTAAAAACCTAATTTTTCAGAATTTCAATTATTTGTTTTTAAAAATTAAATTATTCATAAAAAATAGAAAATCGATTTTAAAATATTTTAAAAAACTAATTTTTCAGAATTTCAATAAAATGCTTAACAAATTAAATTATTTTTAATAGAAAATTAAGAAATTTTAGTAAATTTCAATTATTTCAAAAATTCAATTATCATTAAAAATAGAAAATTGATCTTAAAATATTTTATAAACCTAATTTTTCAGAATTTCAATTATTTAAAGAATTTTCAATTATTTGTTTTTAAAAATTCAATTATTCCTAAAAAATAGAAAATCAATTTTAAAATATTGTAAAAACCTAATTCTAATCTTTCTAAAATTAACTAAATTATTAAATAAAAATTTTTGGAAAATTTGAAATTTCTTAAAAATCTGTAGTGAAATTCTCTAACAAATTTAATTATTTACGCAGAAATAGAAAAACAATGAAGGAATTATTTTAAATTTCACTGTCATTCAAATGTTTTGAAGAGAACAAAAAATTTAAGGTTTTTAAGTTTTTGAAAAATATTTTATATTATTTTAATATTTTTTAATAATTTTTTTTTTTTTGAACACCAAAAGCCAAATATTTTTGTAGTAATTCTTTAGAAATTAGATATCTTTCTAATACTTTTGGTAAAATTCCCCGATTTCTTTAACCAATTTTATTTTCTCTGACTTTTTCCTGAATTCCTTGATTTCCTTGACTTGTGGCAACCCTGGAGGGTCAAAATTCAATTATATTAATATAATAATTATTATAAACTCTTTCATTTGTTAGTAACAATCACACACTGCGTATATTAATCTTATAAATTTCGCTTTTAATAATAACAATAATGACGATAATAATATTAATAATACCTAATGAAAATAACAATAAAATAACAACAATAATAAAAATAATAATAATAAAAATAATAATATTAATAATAATAAAAATAATAAAAATAATAATATTAATAATAATCCATCCTTAACTTTCATTTGACATTCTAAATTTTCTTTAAACCGTGACTCAATTTCAGGGCGACTGTTCGGGAGACTACAGGAAACTTTTACTTGCTCTGACCAACTGAATTAATTTAATTATAATTCCATTGTTTCACTCATTAACTCGTGAGATAAATTATATATTGTATTAAAATAATTAAAAGTTAAAACGTACGTATTATTGCGAACTTTAGAATAATACAAAAGAAAAAATTTGTTTTTCAAATATTATTTATTAAAATGTCGCAGTTTAATTCGATTATTTAAAATCAAACATATTTATCTATCATTATGTGTGGAATATTAAAATTTTTCAATTATCAAGTTTTTATCACACTGTGTAACCAAAGATGTTTATGCAAAATTTTTTTGCCGTTTATTAAAAATTAATAATGTTCTGAAAATAAAAATACATTTTTAACATATCAGTTCGTTTTTTCTTAAATTTTTTATACTTTTCTCTGAATATTTTATTTTTCGTTACTTTCTTTATTCCTTACTTCTTTCTTACTATTTTATTTAATTCCTATTCTTATTTTCTATTATTTTATTTAATTCGAAATTAATTACGATTTTAAATTAATTAATTAAATTAAATTAATTAATTAAGATTTCTTGACTTTGAATTGAATTTTTTTAATTCGAAATTAATTACGATTTTATAATTAATTATAATTTATTATAATATTTTAATTATAATTTTATAATAATATTATTATAATTAATTATAATTAATTAATTAAGATTTCTTGACTGTTCTTTATTAATTTTATTTCAGATAATTTTTCATACAGCGAATAACAAAACAGCTTTTTATGTTTATTAAAATATTATTGTTATTAAAATTTGAGCATGGGCATGAATATTTTTTTCTAAAACCATGATATTAAATGGTCGATTAAAATATTAGGCGAAAATTCTTTAATAATTAATTTATACGTTAAAAATAAGCAAATTATAAAAAAGACAATTTTTTGTTTATTTGCCTTTTTTAAAACGTGAAAATAAAATTCTATATCTGCATTTTTATTAATGAAAATTCAAGGCGCTAATAAATTCTCGCATTGTTTTGCGTTTCCAGAGCGATTGCAGTGCCGATATGAAAAGGCTCCTGACTGCGCTTTTGAATTAATTTAAAAAAAAAAAATACGTTTCTCTTCTCTCACAATGAGATTAACCACCATTGGATTATTTATCACATAATTTTTAACACTCAGTGCACTTCATTTAATTATTGTATGATCTATTTTTGTCCACACGTCGTTACATACATAAACATTATAAATGTGTAAATTATAATATAAATCAAATTATAAAAATGTATTCGAGAATCTCTTATTATTTTTACAGAGTGATTGCGAAGGAGGAAGAAAAAAACTTCTGATTTCAATGCTGAATTAAAATACTTATTTCAATATTTTATATTTAAAAAAAAAATTATATGTTGCATTTAAACTCAATCTCAATTAAGGAGTTACCTGAATTTTATCTTTTTATACTTTTTTTCCTTTCTTCGAAACTAATAAAAAAATTATAATTAAATTGATTGCTTTGTTAGTTATTTGTCTACCTATTCTTATTATATTTAAGAAAATTATTATTTTCAATTATTATTAAATAATAATTAAATTATTATTAATTATTATTTTTAATCAAAAATACCATTTGGATTCTTCGACGGAAAAGAAATATTTGACGAAAAATTTTTTTTAACTGTTTTAATTGTAATTTAATAATTATATATAACAAGCATCGAATCGACTTTAAGGCGCCAAAAAAATTGCTTAAGTCACAAAACAATTTAGTTTTTTTCTAAATCCTGCAATATAATTTTTGTAAATTTAATTTAATTTGAAGCTTTTTCATCAAAATTTTAAAGAATTGAATAATATTTTTTGTATTTGCTATTTAGAAAAAATTAAATATTTCGAAGATGATTGTTATCTCTAAAATTTTTTTAATAATAATTCCATAGAATTAGATAATTAAAGAAAATTGTAACGCAATTTTTATTTTTTGTGTAGACATTCGAATTTTCAAAAATCTATAGGTATTAATAATCGTTGTATTCCGGTTAGTTGTTGTTTGCTTTTTTTGTTTCCTAACTTTCTAAATAATTATTCTTGTCAAATATATTCAATTTTAAAATTAATGTACCTACATACCTATTGCAAAGCATTAAATTCTTGCAAAGAATTTTTTTTTAAATCTGAGAATAATATTGAATTTCTTCGAAGAATTTTATTATTTAGGAAAATTGAATTCTCATAAAGATTTTTGTTGAAAATTTTGAAAATTCTAATTAAATTCTTTTTGGAGAATTTCTTTGAATTTTTTTTATGAATAATGGAGTTTCTATAATAATTTTAATTAAAAATTTTGAAAATAATTGAATTTCATGAACAATTTTTTTTCAAGTTTTTAAAATAATTGAAATAGAACATTTAATTATTGAATTTTATTAAAATTTTAAAAAATAACTGAATTCTTTTGAAAAATTTTATAACGAATTAAGAGAAACAGAATTCTTTCGGGAAATTTTTTTTAAAAATAATTGAATTTTTGCAATGAATTTTACTATTTATAAATATAATTGTATTGTTTCGAAGGATTTATTAAAATTTTAGAAAATAATTGAATTTTTTCAAAAAATATTATTAAAAATTAAAAAAAATTTAATTCTTTTATGTAATTTTATTCAAATTGTGTTAAAAATAATTGAATTTATGTTTGGAAAGAATTTTACTATTTAGAAATATAATTGAATTTTTTCAAAATACTTTCTAACGAATTAAGAAAAATATTGAATTCAGTACTTCCCTGACTTTTGGAAAATAATAAATAAATAATTAATTTTTTATGTTAAATATTTTAAAATATTATTACAGTTTTACAAAAATCAAAATCTTCAAAGACCTATATAAAAATCTTTTGAAATTTAATTATTTCTAGAAATTCATTTTATAACGCTTCTAATATTCATTTTATAACTAAAATTTTTTTTTTTTAAATTCATTTTTAATTGAATTCTTGTTAGAAAGTTCTAGGAGAATTAAATAATTTAAATACAAAAATAAATAATAATTGAATGAAATAATTGATTATTTCTTAAAATTTAATTTCTATATAGTATTTTATCAAAAATTAAAAAAAATAATTGAAAAACTAATTTTTTTAAATACTTGCATTTTTGAGTGAATTTATTTTAAATTTAAAAAAAAACTTTTTTTATTTTATCAAAATTTTAAAAAATAATTGCATTTTTTGAGTGAATTTATTTGAAATTTTGAAAAAATTTAATGAAAATTGTATTTTAAATAATTGGAAATCTGTGAAAATGTTATTATTTATGAAAATAATCCGAGTTTTTGTAAAGAATTTTATTAAAATTCTTTTTAAATAATTGAATTCTTTTGTGAAATTTTAGTAAAATGGTAGATAATGGAAATAATTGAATTTTAGCAAAAAAATTTCGTTATTTGGAAAAATAATTGAATTCTAACCAAAAAGAAATTTGATTAAAATTGTATTCAAAATAATTGAAATTCTGCGATGAATTTTATTATTTATGAAAATAATTGAATTCTTAAATACCTATAGAATTTTATGATTTATGAAAATAATTAAATGTATGCAAATAATTTTATTAAAATTTTGTTTAAATAATTGAATTTTTTTTAGAAAATTTTATTAAAATAGTAGATATTGAAAATCATTGAATTGAGAAAAATTTTTAAAAATAATTGAAACCTTGACAAGAATTTTATTACATAACATCTTTGAAAATAATTTAATTTTGGAGACGAATTTTATTATTTTTAAAGATAATTGAAATTAGACGAGAGAATTAAAAATTTTTTTTTCATAGTTAAATTTCTGTGAAGAATTTTATTAGTTTTGATTATAATTGAATTTCTGCAATCATTAATTTTTCCAAAATTCAATTTTTTTAGTGTTTTTAACTAAAATTCTTCAATATTCTTTCCCAAAAAAATTAATTCTATAGAATTGTTAGTTAAAAGTATAAAAAATTCAGATTTTCAAAGATTTTAATTATTGAAACCTTTTTAAAATTCAATTATTTCTGAAAATTCAAGCTATAATACTTTTTATATTCAATTATTATCTAAAACTTTAACTAAAATTCAGTTTTAAATCGATTTTTGTTAGAAAATTCTACGAGAATTCAATTATCTAAATACAAAAGTAAACAATAAATTGAATAATAATTATTAGCGGATTTAAACTAATGTAATTTATGAAAAAAAATGCAAAAAGCAGATTTTAGAGTCAGAAATTTGAAAAATGTATCAAAATAGTAGCAAATTGTAATTGAAAAAAATCAACTATTGTCAATATTACAAAATTTCAATTATTTAAAAATTTTTTACTTATAAATTTCGAAAATTTAATTTCCAATATTAAAATTAAAATTTAAAATATTCAAAATTAATAAAAAAAATAAATAAATTTTTTTACAAAATTTCAATTATTTAAAAATTTTTTACTTATAAATTTTGAAAATTTGTTTTTCAACATTAAAATTAAAATTTTAAATATTCAAAATCAATAAATATAATAAATAAAAATTGTTTACTTATAAATTTCAAAAATTAAATTTTCAGCATTAAAATTAAAATTTTTAATATTTAAAATTAATAAATAAAAGAAATAAAAAATAAGTGAAGAGTCGAAAGAATAATACCAGAGGTCTTATTATATTAATTTCTTTAAAAAGCATAACAGGTAAATAAAAAAGAAAAAAATTAAATTAATCATTCGTTTATATCACAATAAGATAAAAACTTACAATTTTAATAAAGTACATTTTTTTAGTGTTAAACATATCTGTCTTTGTATAAAATGTCATGGAAATAAAAAACAGAAAATATTAAAAATTTATTAATACTTGAAAAAATAAAATGGTTTTATCACCTTTTTTTATATTATTTTATACCATTATCACAGAATATGGTATGGAATTTGTTGTTGAATTTTGATGACCCATGTGAAAGCATCCGAGATCTCTTCTTATTAAGGGTAATGCTCTGAATAATGAAATATCAACTTCAGCACATCCATTAAAATGGTGTCTATCAAAATCCATATCGTAAAAGCGAATACAAGCCTCGACATGTAATTCTTCCACGATGATAGGACAAATCATTGGCGGATTTCTCACTGAAAGACGAAACATGTGTGTTGTATTAAATTTCATTTTTTAGATATACAATTCGTGTAACACTACTCTTATTATATCAATAAGATAATATCAAAATTCTCAAATTTTCAACCAATCTTATCAATTTTATTAAAAGTCACCAAATAATAAATGGAGAGGAAATAAATATTAAATTTTTTAAAAGAATTTAATAATTTGGAGAGTAAATTCGACAAAAGCGAATTTTTTATATAAAAAATAATACTAAAGTTTAAAAAAACTTATGTGAAAATAAAATATCAAGAATATTTATGAAATTTCAATATTGGGTTGACACAAAAATTTAATTTTGTTTAAATTCTTTTTTTAAATAAATATTTAAACATTTATTATTTTTCTATAGAAAAATTAAGATATTAAAAAATTTATTAATACTTGGAAAAATAATACTTTTTATAATTAAATATGACAGAGTGATAAAATCATTATTTTATATATTATAAAAATATTGTTACTGTAACTTCTACAAAATTATTTTCATCATTTCAATTCGATTATTATTATTTTCTAGAATTTTTAACTAAAATTCTTATTTATAAAGTTTAAATTAATTATTTTTAATAGGTAATTTTTAAAAAAGTTCTTTTTGAGAATTTTTAAATCCATTTGTTTACAACTCAATTTTACGAAATTTCGATTATTTGGAAATTCTTCAATTAAAATATTAGAAAATAAAAAATTCAAATAAACTTTTTTAAAAAAATTAATTTTCCAGAATTGTTTGTTAAAAGTGTAAAAAATTCAAATTTTCAAAGACTTTAATTTGAAATCTTTTCAAAATTAAATTACTTCTAAAAATTCACGTTTTTACGCTTTTAATATTATCTTAAATTTTAACTAAAATTCCCTTTTATTAGAAAATAAAAAGACAATTGAATTATTTAAATACAAAAATAATTAATTTATTGAATAATTAAATGTTTCTTAAAATTGAATTCTCATAAAGAATTTTATCAACAAATTTTTAAATAATTGAATGCTTTTGGCAAATTTCCATAAAATTTTAAGAATAATAATAATAATATTATATTAATCAAAACAAATTTTTTTAAATAATTGAATTCTTTAGGAAAATTTTATTAAAATAGTAGATGTTAAAAATCATTGAATTGAGGAAAATTTTTGAAAATAATTGAAATATTTGACAAGAATTTTTAAAAATTTTTGAATTTCTGCGAAGAATTTTATTAATTTTAAGAAAAATTTCTTAAAATTGAATTCTCATGAAGAGTTTTAAAAAAAATTTTTTAAATAGTTTAAATATTTTGACGAATTTAAATAAAATTTTAAAAATTAATTACATTTTTTGAGGAATTCGATTAAAATTGTATTAAAAATAATTTAATGTTAGCAATGAGTTTTATTAATTATGAAAATAATTGAATTCTTAAATAGAATTTTATTATTTATGAAAATAATGAAATGTTTGCGAAGAATTTTACTAAAATTTTTTAAAAATAATTTAAATAATTTTTAAGAATAATTTTTCCAGGAATTCGATTAAAATTGTGTTATAAATAATTGAACTTCTGCAATGCAAATAACTGAATTCCTATATAGAATTTTATTATTTATTTCTGTCAAATTTTCATTAATTAAATTTTTTAAGTGTTTTCATAAAAAATTCTTCTATAAATCAATTATTTTTAATAATTTTTGGAAAAGTTCTTTGAGAATTTTCAAATTATTATTCGGAAATTTTTTAATTGAATATTATATTAGAAAATAAAAAGTTAAAATAATTTTTGAAAAAATTTCAATTGAACTTTTTAAAAAAAAAAAGTTTTTTAGAATTTTTAATTAAAGGAAAGAAAAATTCCAAATATTTTAAATTGAAACCTTTTCAAAAATCAATTATTTCTCCAAATTTACGCCATAATGCTTCTAATATTCAATTATTATCCAAAATTTTAACTAAAATCTATTTTTAAATCAATTTTTATTAAAAAAATCAACGAAAATTCAATTATTTAAATACCAAAATAATGAATTTATTGAATATTTAAATTTTTAGAAAATTTAATTATTCTTAAAAAATTTTATCAAAAAATTTTTAATAATTTAATTTTTTCGACGAATTTCAATAAAACTTTTAAGAATAATTAAATTTTCTAAAAATTTGATTAAAAATATTTGAAACTTTGCGATGAGTAAATTATTAATTAAGAAAATAATTGAATTACTAAACAGAATTTTATTATTTACGAAAATAATTGAATCCCTGCAAAAAATTTTATTATTTATGAAAATAATTGAATTATTGCGAAAAAATTTATAAAAAAATTGTAAATAATGAAATTCCTGTAAAATTGTTATTATTTAAATGTTTGCAAAGAATTTTATTAAAATTTTTTTAAATAATTGAATTCTTTTGGAAAATTTTATTAAAATAGTAGATATTGAAAATCATTGAATTGAGGAAATTTTTAAAAAGAATTGAATCTTTGCCAAAAATTTTATTAAAATTTTTGAAAATAATTGAATTTCGGAGAAAAATTTTATTGTTTATAAAGATAATTGAAAATTTGACGCGAATTTTTAAAAAATTTTGAGCATAATTGTAGTTTTGCGAAGAATTTAATTACTTTTAGAGATAATTGAATATTTGCAATATTTCCTTCATTTGAACGTTCAAAAATTATTTATTTTTCTTAGGAACGTTTTATTACATTTTTTCAATATAAATATAGAAAATTACTTTATAGTAATGATGAAATGGAAAAAAATATTCAACATACCTGATATGGTTTCATTGTAAAAAGTTATATTGTTGTAAACAACTGTTAGAGACACTCCTATATCGTCTGTCAGGTATTTCATGTCGGAACAAACTGAAAAGGAAAGTATTTTCGTTAAAAAAAAATTTCAGTATCAAAATAAATATTAGAACATACTTATCTTTGCTTTACAGAATTATTAAAATTTGTATATGGAAAATAATTGAATTTTTTCGAAGAATTTTATTATTTATATAGTATTGAATTCTTGAGGAGAATTTTATTATTTGTGACAGTAATTAAATTATTGTCAAGAATAAATTAATTTTTTCGATTTTTGGAAGACGTATATAAAAGGTAAAAGAAAAACACTCTTTTACTTTTTTATAAAATAGACGACGTTTAAAGAGTGTAAAAGAGTGTTTTTCTTTTACCTTTTATATACGTCTTCCAAAAATCGAAAAAATTAATTTATTAAATAACTGTGGAAGAATTTACTAAATATTTAATTATTGTCAAGAAGTTTTATTATTTATAAAAATATTTGAATTCTTGCAAAGAATTACGAAAAAATAAATTAAAATCTTGTAAAATAATTTTATTTTTGCAAAGAATTTAAAAAAAAATTTTTGAAAATAATTGATAGTTTTTTAATGAAATTTTATTTAAAAAATCATTTAATTTTTGCGATGAAGTTTATTACTTATGAAAATAATTGAATTCTCTCGATAAATTCTATTCGAATTGTATTAAAAATAATTGAATTCATACAGAGAATTTTATTATTTATGAGAATAATAATTGAATTCTTGCAAAGATTTCGAAGAATTGTATTATTTATGAAAATATTGTAATTTTTGTCAAGAATTTTATTATTTGAGAAAATAATTAAATTTTTAAATTAAATAATTACATTTTATTAAAATTTTTGAAAAATAATTGAATTTCAGTGATGAATTTATAATTGAATTCCTTCGAGAAACTGCTATATTTAAAAATGTTTTGCAAAGAATTTTATTATAGTTATGAAAATAATTGAATTCTTTAGAAAAATTTTGATAAAATTTTATTCGAAATGTAATTAAATTCAGATGGAGAATTTAATTACTTGTGAATATAATTTAATTCTTTCGTGAAATTCTGAAAAAAATTGTAATGAAAATAATTAAAATTCCTGAAGAGAATTTTCTTTTTTTTAATATATAAAAATAATTGAATAATTCTTGAAAAGAATTTTATTAAAATTTTTGAAAATATTAAATAATAATAATTAATTAATTGGTAAAAGTGATTTTTTTAAATTTTGAATATGGAATTATTCAAGAATAATTGAATTTGATATTAAGAAATAAAAAATTTTTTGCTGGAATATATGTAAATAAGTGGAAAGTTCTTTTTATAATTTAAAATATATTATAATATTAAATCTTACGTGTTCCATTCAGTTTAATAAAATCCACTTCAATGTGACTGCAGCATCCACAATCGTAATGTGCACACCGACATCCAGATAGATTTGTTTCTGCAAAAGACAATTAATTAGAAGCAAAAAAACAAAAAAATAAAAAAACAAAAAAACAACAAAAAAACAAACTAACAATATACATAATAAATTTCAGATAATAGGAATTTAAAAAAAATTATCTTCCTACCATTGTGATCATTGTTGGTTTCTAAGGCCCAAGTTTCGTGTATTACAAAAATGATTGTAACAGAACATAAAAAAAACAGTCGCATCCACATGATTAAATAATGAAAATCCTCGAATTTTAATTCAGTAAATTTAAATTATTAACTAATTTTTTACTTTTTAATTTAATAATTTTCCTATACTATTTCGAATAAATTTATTCGCGCTTAATTTTTCAATTTCTCTTTCTCGTAAAATACAATCACCTTTCACTGACAAGCGCACTTGTTGGACTGATGTTTTCAGACGATAGGACGATACAATGCCCAACTTGTGACCGAGTGTTTGAAAAGACATGAATCATATATAATATCAAACTATGGAAAAAGCAGTTTATTGTCGCCCCTATAGCCACAACAAAGGCAAAAAAAAAAAAATTAACGACTCGTTTTCTTTTTTTCTTCAACTTTATGTTTTTAAAAATATTAATTTTACAAATAACATTTAGAAAGTAAAAGAATTTTTCAAATTAAGTTAAAATTTTAACCCAATTCTTAAAAGAATTCAACTATCTTAATAAATATTAAAATTCTTTCTAGAAATTCAATTATTTTCAAAATGTAAAAAAAATTCTTGTTAACATTTATTTAAAAATTGTAGAATCTATTGAAGATAAATAATTAAATTTTGTTAATAAAAGAAAACAAATAATACAATATTTATATTTTTACTCAAGTATTCAATTTATTTAATCACTTTCTTCGATTACAAACAAATATATATTATAAATTATATTATACATTAAAGAAAAATTACTTTACAATTCAAGTAGGTAACTTATTTTTCTAATTATGAATCGGAGAAATGTTTGAAACAATTATTATTTTAGTACTTTAATTCGCTTTGCTTAGTCGTGAAAAAAATTAATTAATCCAAATAATTAATTTTTGTCTTGCATATGAAAAACATTCATAGAAGAATAAAAATATTCTACAAAAATATATCTATGTTTTCTGCAAATTCTTTGACAACGTCGTCGACATCGGAAAAATCTAGAACAATTGTGATTAAAATAATTACAGATAAAAATTATAAGATTTAAACAATTCTTTTCAATACTAACCAATAGAAACATTATGCTGTTTTTCATTTTTTCCATTGTTTAATAATTTTGAATCATTTTCGTCTCCTTCAGGTTTTATTGCCCCTCGTTTATTACTTTTAAAAACTATATAAATATACAAACTGTTAAAAATGATTTTGTCAAAATTAATAAAAGACATTGAATTAAAGTTTTGACTAAAAAATACTTTCCTTTTAATTCATCGAAATCCCACATTTTTGCTTTTTCATTAGGATCTGTGATTATCATATTAGCACATTTTCCATCTAAGCAATGCTAAGAAATTAAGAAATTTTATAATAAAAATTATTTTCTATTTATACAACTGCGTGTTTATAAATTATAATTAAAAGTTTATGTCGTTACTCCATTATGTTTGCAAGGAATTCCATCTGGTCGAGATATATCTTGATAAATACTTGTTTCAGAATCATCTTCATAATCATCGTATTCATATTCAAATTCATCAATGTCAGTCATATTGGAGCAGACAACAGTACAGTCAAATTCAATAAGCTAAAACAATTGTAAACTAAAAATTCCACGAACTTTTTGTTTTCATTCCCGGGAATTTCTCTGCATTATTTTCAGAAACTTTTTTCCACATGGGAAAAGTGTATGTATTTGAAAAAAAAGTTAAAATTATGATATAAAGAATTTAAACTATATGAAAGTTTTAGTACTAACAGAAACGAAGAAAATAAATTCAGCATCAGTGCATTCTTCAATCGGAGATTTTAAATTGACAGGTAATTTAGTTGAAGAAGTTGTTGAATCAACAATGCGAACAGTAGTTGAATCAAGTTCCACCTTAATGCACGAACCTTCAAAGCAATACTACAAGGAAAGACGAAATGTCAAGCATTTATGGTAACAAAATTATATTTTACAATTTGATAATATGCATCTTACTCCTTTAGTTGCGTTATTTATAAAGCAAGGACTTCCATTTATAGCATAAACCTCTTCATAAATAATGTTATAGTCATAATCAAGATAATCATAATCACATCTAAAACTGCATCCATTGATATACTTGAAAAAAAGAGATAAATTATATTGAATTAAAGAAGAATTTAAAAATATCACATTAGACATACGGAATTAAAAATATTCCACAAATACAAACATTAGTTTCTGAAAAAATTAACCCACGATCTTCACATTGTTCCTTGGGAGTTTTAAACTCTTTAGGTAATACATCTATGAGAGAAGTTGAAGCACTAGTAGTGGTACTACTTGTGCTGCTTGTACTACTTGTGCTACTTGTAATAGCTGTCATATTAACACATTTGCCATTGTGACAATACTGAATAACAGAAAGCGATAAATTAAGTTTATATCAACAAATTAGCGGAATTGTAAAAATGTTCCTTACTCCACTGTTATTACAAGATAAGCCATTTTCTGCATTCAAATATTTTATATCATATTTGTTTTTCTCGCAAACACTAATGCATCCGTTGTTATACTATAAAGAAAGTAAAAAAACAAAAATACATTCACTAAGCGTATGAAAAAAATCAAAATTGAAGTTTAAGAATTTTTAACCCTTTATTTATACATACATCATAACTCCAAGAATATCCAATCTCTTGACAACGTTTAAAAGATGACGCGAATTGACCATACCGTTCATCGACGAAAGTACTAGGATCAACAATGCCAGTAGAAAATGTCATATTAATGCATTTACCATCTTGACAGTACTGAAAGAATTCAAAAATGCACAGTATTGTTGAGTAAAATTTATGTCAAGAAATATTGCAGAAATGTTTCTTACTCCACTATTATTGCAAGGATGTCCATCGGGAGCAAATGTTTCCTTGATTTTTATTACTTTGTCGTGATCGTAACTCAAAAAATATTCAGAAACATTGTAAGTAACTATTTTGCAGTTAAAGGTACATTCTTTGGCAGAATACTGAAATGTTTTGGTAATATCATAATTTAGTTTTTGAATAATTTATAGGGTCCCTACAAAATAACCTTATGCAAGTTCCATCGTGCTTTTTGCAAATTTCTTAAGTCATTTTTAGAAAAAATTCTAATAAAATTCATGTTGTACTCCAAATTTTCGCCTTGTTAATATATTATATCCTTAAGTAAATAACTCAAGTCATAGACATTATTCATTTTTAATACTAACATTACTAAAACCTGTTGCTCCAGCTTTTCTACAATGATCATTAGCCAATTGATAAGTATCGTCTATACATCGTCCTTGTTGACAGATCTATTGAACGAAAAATATATATTCTTTACTTTTGTTTACCTAGTAAAAAGGTTTTCGGAAAAAAATTCAATATACGATATATTAGATTAAAATAACTATTAATAAATGAGGAGCCGGGAAGAAGAACTCGCCGAGCGCGCCAACGTATTCTCTAATATCAGTCGGGGAGGAGTGAGCGCCTCTGGGCCTGTCACTGCTACCCGACTGATATTAGAGAATACGTTGGCGCGCTCGGCGAGTTCTTCTTCCCGGCTCCTCAAATATTAATAACATTCAATAGAATTCCGAATTCAAATAACTCTTACTCCGTTCTTACTACAAGGGGTTCCATCATCTGCAGTATATTCTGTCGGTTTAAAGTCGAGCGTATCTGTTTTAATAACGCACTTTACTTTACAAATATAAAAGAAAGCCTAAAATAAAATTTAAAATTGGAAATAAGTTGATGAGTTTAAAAATAAAATTGTAAATTTTATAAAAAATTTCAACAAACTTTGATAGCAATCTCATTTCTATATTTAACACACTGTTCTTCAGCAGTTTTTTTACTTCTACGCGTTTGGTATTTAAATGGAAATAAATTCTTTAAATCTGAATTCTTGTCACTATTGTTAAATGGAACATCCACACACTCTCCCCTTAAGCAGTACTGTAATTTAAAACAATTTTATTAATACTATATACAATAATTTGTACATTAAAAATAAATTAAAACAAAATTTTGATGTTTGCAGTCAAGGTAATTTCAATTATTAGAAAATTTTCTCTGTTGTGTCAATGAGATATTTTACTATTAAAATCCGTCAAGAAAAAAAATCGTTTTTTTTAACTGATAAAGTGGTATGAAACCTTAAATAAATTAAAATTGTTCGGTAATACGTAGTTAGTCTTCTTACCACTAAGGTAAGAAATTGATGATTATTTTCAAACTTACTTTTCCAAAGTCACAAGGGGTGCCTTCTAGTGCAGCAACATCTACATAACTGGAACTTCTCCCATCGAAGCAGTTTATTTCTAAGCAAATATCTAGATTAACCTGAAATAAATAATAAATGTATTAATCAAGAAAATTTAAAAAACAAGAGCAGGAATAAACAATTCACTACCGAAGATGCATTACTGTGTCCATTTTTTTGACATTGTTCGTCTAATGTCATATATTGTCCAGGCAAAACTCTCAAAATTTGTTTATCAGTTCTTTTATCGGCTGGATTATTGAGAATGCACCTAGACTTCTCTTGGCTGTTATAAATGTGAATAAATTTAATATACACTTAAAAATAAAACTAGAATTTATATCTTTTGAATTCGCAAAAATGCAATTCAAGAATTGAAAATTATATCCCTAAATGTTTTCCATAAACAGGAAAGTTTAAAATTACAAACCTGAAATGCCATTTTATCTTTTCTTTGGAACATGGTGAAAAGAAAAATTGATTTTGGTCGTATATGTTATAACTCATAACAAAACCTTTCATAAAAGAACATTCTTGTACCGACGCGTTATCATGCTCACTACCAAATCTAAGAAAGAATCATAACATATCGTAATTAAAAAATATTATGCTAAAAAAGTAAATACTATACTACTAAAATTTATCTTTAATTTCTATAACGATAGTATTGTTAATTGACTTCTGAATTTACTGAACTGATATTGCAGTTCTAAACTTACAAATGACCTAATTCATGTGCAGCAATACGAATTCCATTAAGGGTTCCTTCATCTGAAGTAATCATCATTGATTTAACCGTCTTTTCTATGTCATCATTAAAACAAACATTTGCTATTGGTGAAATACCTAAATATAATTTAAAATTTGCGTTTAATACCGATATTATGTGCACTATGTTATTTAAATGTATTTGTAACTAAACAAAGCAATTTATTTTCAAAACAGTAATCAAATACTTTTTTATATAAACATAATAATTAATTAATTATGATTTTATATATAAAATTAAAAAAGGTAACCTTTCGTTGCACTGTATTCACTTGGATTAAGTAAATAAACACCAACATCGTAATCAATTGATAGTTTAAATTGATTTTCACTATAAAGAAATTTTCCAAAATCCCACAAGACAGTTGTGTTAATAGTTCTCCCGTCCAACGTTTTTGTATTTATTTGATCCTTTATCGAAGTAAAAACTTCAGTCAGATACCGGTATTAAAGCAAAAATTAACAACTAGCACAGCAAGAGCTCAAGTTGTCAACTTTTTTTATTATGTAGTTATAACAGAGATTAATATTACTAATAAATAAATAAGTATACACATAATAAAGTCTATAACTCTACAGACTACAACACAATAATGAAATCGTATAGTTATCTAATTTTTTTGTTATAAAATTACAAGTACCTCACACAAAACAATTCCAGCGATGCTTAAACGAATTGCGGGATCGTCCATGTCTCTATAATAAAGATCTACTCCATTGAAAAGAGTTAGAACATAAGCGACTGTTTTGACAATATTTTTTTCATGATCTCTGAAAAATTAAGCATTTAATGAGAAATACTAATTGTATCAGTGGCAAATCCAAGGAGAGGGATGAAAAATTTACATAAAATAAGGTCAGCTAATTATAGTCGTTGTTCGCCGCATCTAAGGATGACCCCCCTGGAGTAAATTCTGGATCAGCTACTGAATTGAATTAAGTATTAAAAATTTTAAAAAAGTATTACAAGTTGTAACATACTCAAACACTGTTTTATCTACGTAGACTAAAATTTCCGGATAGACAATTTCCGGAGTATTTAAAGAATCTTCCTTTCTCTGCCTATATTCATTAATCCTGTCATCAGTTTGTTGGTAGTTATTATGGTTCGATAAAGAAGAATCTCGTTTATAAAGTAGGTGATAATTTTTGCTACCATTGTTTTCTGATTCGTACTGTAATTTTGATGAAACATCTCGACGTTTGCGATCGTGATTATTTAATGATCGTATTATTTTAGAATCAATAACACCATCCTAAAATGAAAAATTATCTTTATTGCATTGGCACTAAATTAAAACTTTTAGTTATACGTGTTGACAAAAAGTAAAGTCATTCCTTTAACTTAAATGATAATTAAAGCCACTTTAAAAACAAATGACATTCACTCCTTAGCACCCTTTTTATCAGAAATCGACAATTTTTATAGTGTAAATAATTCCCCTAGCCATTTAGTCACTAAATATTCAAAGAGATACAATATTACTTACGAATTTTGAAACACCATCTTCATTTACAGTGTGTGCTATTGCGGATTTTGTTTTTATATCATGGTAAAATGTTATATTCACTTCCTCCATAATCTACAATGAATGAAAATTTTTAAAAAATCAACTTAATGAAAAATTTTTTCTAATAATAACTATACATATGAGTTAGGAAAATATTATAGAAAAAATTTAGGCAAAATGTATCAATATTAATGACTTAATTGAAAATTGATACTTTAGTCCTTAACATGTTTAGGACTAAAGATGTTAAGGCAAAGTTAAGAAAAATGTTAAGATATTCAGTATTTAAGTCTCAATTTTTAATTAAGTCGTATATTGAATTATGGAATAAAAATCCCTTTAGTCCTTAACATCTTAACGCAAATAATTAAAAAAGTAAGAAAATAAGTTGCATTTTTATTTAATCACAAAAATGGAAAGATAAAAACTTCTTTACTTTACTTTAAAAAAAATATTATTAAAAAAAGTTCTGTACAAAAAATTTTTTTTACTTACATCCTTTTGCAGTGTATACTTCAATTTGCCTCCTTCATTTTTTGCTACCCAGATTTTAGTATCCTTACCAGCAAAAAATCCATCTGATGACTGTAAAATAAATTCCTTTTCAATGCCTCTGCTTGTAATATTAATTACAACTTCAGGTAGACTTCTTCTATGAATTGAATGTTTAACAGAAACCAGTTCACTATCAGTTTCTAAAAAAATTAAAATGTGTTAAATTATTTCTTACATTTATAGAGAGAAAGAGCACAAAATTGTTTGTGCTACAACGTTTGAAGAATAATTAAAGTTTACAGAAAAATGTATTTATACCTCCATAACCGTCTGAATTAGTCAAATATTGTTCAGCCTGGTTGATAAATTTTTGTTATTATTATTTGATCAAAGAATAAATATAGAATATTTTTGTACATTATTATTTGGTCGAATTATGATTTTAAAAAATTTAAATTTACCTTTATTGTTAACGTGAATAGTGCAATAGATGCAAAAAGATGAATAAAGGCGTAAATCATCTTTTATTCTTCAGTATTTTTTGGAACTTTAATGCTACGTTTTAGTGTAGACAATATGCCACGTCGAAATGATTTTTTATTTCAAGTGTCTCTGTATATTTCCCGAAAGTATGAACAGTGCATTGAAGATATTGAAGAATTTAATGACCTCCTAGCCAGTGGAATAGTTACAAGTGTATCGAGTTATTTGGTAGAAATAACACTAAAATGCAGTTTAAGTAGAAATGTGTGCATTGCAAATTTATTACGTAAAACTTATATTATACGTATAAAAGAATGTTTTAATTTAATTAAGATTTTTCCCTCTGTTACAAATTTCATAAGAGGATTTCCTTTTTTAAAAATAATAGAGAAAAGCCTTTTTCCTTTGCATTAAATTAAATTTAGTTTTATGTTTTAAATATAAAATATAACTTAAGACAATTCTAATTTTTAAAATCATTTTAATCTTTTTTGGCACGTTAATGAAAATTGTACTTCTTTAAAAAAAGCCACATGTAGTACTTTCAGTTCTTGTAGAGATTTCAGTACTTTTTAGGGTCGCTGATTACGAATATGAAGTCAGATTTTCAAAATTCAAAATGGCGAATCCAATATAGTGGATTTTTTAAAAATAATTAAATTAAATAAAAAATTAAGTTTCAAAGAATTAAAATTTTTCCAATGTAAATATATAAATGTTATAATATATAATGTAAAGTAAAAATTTGTTTCTTCAAGCATGACTACAAATTTTTCAAACTAATAAAAAATGATAATTTTTATAGGTCTTGCTTAAAAATAAGGCGAAAAGAGGAGAAAATGTATGATTTTAGGTGTTGTAGGGAAAGTGGAAAAGCAATATGAATAAAAAAGCAGAAAAATCAATTCAGAGGAAATGAAAATAACACAGTAAAAAGAACACTCATAAATAATTCTCAAATATGAATTATATTCTTGATATATCTCTTTTAAAAATGTATAATCTATGATACATATACATGTTAAAAATGTCGAAAAAAAGAAAAAATATAGATGCATACATATATATTCAGAAATAAGGAGCTCTACATTAAAAGTTTTTTAATGCAAAAGCCTCTGCTTTATTTTCAGTTAATTTATATAATTTTATATACCTCTCGAAGAGTGAAGTAAACTTATTAATAATTTTTGCACTTGTAAGCAATTTTTCCCACATTTCTGTATTTCAAACATTTGACCGACTTCATTTTATTTTTATTATTAAAAAAATTTTTTTTAGTTAAATAGTGTTATTTAAATTTTTTTTTTATAAAATAATGTTATTTAAATTTTTTATTTATTAAATATACTGTAAATTTGAATCAGTGAAATGCCACTGACAATTAGTCAAGTATAACTGATTTTCATTTATTCTCGTTAAAGAGTTTTCTTTTTAATAATTAAAATATGACTAATTGTCAGTAAAAATTCATTGTTTCTTCAGTAGAATTTCACTAATTTTTTTACTAAATTGACCATTTAATATGTTTTATCGACAGTCAGTAAAACGGAATCACTGAATTCCTACTGACAATCTGATTGTCAGTAAAAATTTTACTGAATGATTTAATGGAAGAGTTTTCATTATAATACAATCTGTAAAATTTCACTGATTCAAATTTAGAGTGTGAGAAGTCTAAACTGCAAGAACTTTATCAAGACTAAATTGAGTCACATCTCTGTACTATCCCACATAGCACAACATTTTTCAGCCATTTTGCAGCAAACTTGTGACAAATGGCAAAATGTCCCCCTTGTGACAAGTTTGTGGTGTAAACTTACTGCAAATTTTAACAGAACTTGCAGAACTGTAGTAAACTTCAGAAAAATTTACATTTAACTTTCTAAAAAATTAAATTTTTTTTGAAAAATGTAAGCATTTCAATAAATGGTCCCTTCCCTCAAAGGAAAGATGACTAAAATGTAATGCGCAGTTCTAGTTGTTATAGAAAACTACTGCGCAGCTCTAGATGACATAGAAAACTACTGCGCATGCATTTAAGTTTTCGTATGCCACGCAAGTTTTTTGCTAGTTTCTTGCCACGACGGGGGTACATTTTGCTATTTCCTATAAGTTTGCTGCAAACTTATAAAGCAAACTTTCGAAATTTGCAATACAAATTTGCTGAAAAATGTTGTGCTATATGGGACCTATAAAAGAAAGTATTAACTAAGATAATTCATCTAGGTCCGGTTAGGGTCCTGGTGGCATGTGGACTAACTAAAAATCCCATTAGTAAGAAAAGGATAGACGTATTTCCACTTTTTTTTACAAATTAATTTTTTAGTTAGTCCACATGCCACCAGGTCCTTAACCGGACATAGGTGAATTATCTTAGGAATTATGTATTCAATATCCGAGTAAGTCACCACTCCTTTGTTACAATAGATATAACACATCGTGTCAGATTCGTAGAAGAGTGTATCAAGAGAGGTAACAATGATCACTGAGAGCAGAACGGCTTCTATGAATCCGACAATTATTATCTGTTTTCGGCTTTCGCCCTGAGTTACCTCCGGGTTAATGGTGATTGATTAGATCCAACAGAATGTTGTTGATGATTGGATAATTATTATTTCTAAGTTAACCCTGAATGAGTACCGTAAACAGCCATTGGCAATGTGACCAAGGAAATATGGTTAGATATTAAGCATCTCCCAGCAGAACATCAGAGTCATTTCTTGTTAATAGAAATAATATTATTATAATATTAATCACTGCTTCTAGTTATAGACCTTTTCTGAAACTGCTCCATCAACATGAAGACCTGAGGCCATTACAAAGCTTAAGATTTCCCGCTATTACAGAGCACAAGCTTCTTGATTCCTTAGCAGCGAAAGTTATACACCAAAGCCAATTGGTGGGTCATGAACCATCATACAGGACAGGGTTCTGTTATGGGTTATGTAAAGAAGGCAATTGACATGAAGTTTCATGAGAAAGTGACCCAAAGTAATGTATTCATTGTCTATATTGCTGGACATTGGACTCCCACGAAGCAAAACAGCTCCCTGATTCCCTAGCAGTGAAAGCTATTCACCAAAGCAAACTGGTGGGTAATGAATCATCATACTGGGCAGGGTTTGGTTAAAATTAGTTTTCCCTGTTGGATGATAAAAAGAGGTGATGGAACTTTTGACTGCATTTATGATAAATCACCGTTTGCAAAATCACAGTGTATCATTTGGGAGGGTAGAAAGTTAACATGATTACAGTCCTGAGTTCAACAATGCTCTCCAAAGCTACAAAATGGCTGAAATCAACAATGTCAACCAAGCCGTGTATGGTCTTATGAATGAGGACGTCGCAGATCTCTGCGAAGTTCCCGCAGATTCCATTGGGATATTAGTAGACCAGGGCAGAAAGTTAGAGTTACTCTGATTACAGTCCTGAATTCAGCACTGTTTTTCAGAACTATGAGATGACTGCAGCAAATAGCTTCAGTCATGATGATGAATAAAGTCCTTGCCAAAATTGTACGGAACTTCAGTATAAAATGATTATGCAAAATGCAATAACTCTGATGTCCTGAATGTAACACTATACTCTTCAAAATTACAAAATTATTCTTTGTTTAATTCTTTTGTAATAAAAAACCCCAAATTCAGATTTGAGTCTTCTTATTACAAAATACTGATAAAAATCCCTTAAAACTGAGTACATTCCCAATATTATTTTAAAATGAATTTATCAACTTTTTCTTTTTTAAATTCATCAAATTCTGAACATTTTCTGCAAAAATACTAACATTTATACATCATTCAAAATTGATCACAAATAATTAATAATTTAAGTACAAAAAATTATGTAAACGGTTTACTCCACTCATTTCTAATTAATACAGATAAATTAAATATAAAGGCTTCTTTAGTTAAATAATTCCCGTTTTACGAAAATCAAAACAATATTCTCTAAGACAGAACACAACTGAAATTTAACTAAATTCCACAGAAAGTTTGCATTAAATTAATTTTTAAAAAAAACTATATATATAATATATTACATTTGAGACTTTACACTAATAAAACTTTCATGAGCATAAATCGATTTTTTTGAGAGACTGAAGAAAACGAAAAAAACAAATTAGTGCATATTATGCCCTTTTGTTTCTTACACTTAGGAGAGATCTAGTGCGTCGACAATTTTTCAGGGGGAAAATAATTCTAGAAATTAAACAAAAAGAAAAAAATTATTCATTTTGAATATCAATGGTATAAGGGCATTTTTTCACTTATTCTAGAATCAGACCATAAACTAACACCTAGGCTTATTTTCTAAATCTATACAATTGTACATTTTTTCTTAATATTATAATTATCATCACAATCTTCGCAGAGTAATACTTTGTTTTCAATGCGTATTATAATATGTTAAATTAGAAATTTCACTGGACCCCTGTTTAGGTTCTTGGGCTTGCGTTAGTTGATGGTCTGCAGGCCTCTATTTTGTGCTATTGGTATCTTTTGCAACTGGCAGTTATTTGCAGGAGATAATAATTCGAAGACAAAGAACATTATTATCTTTTTTTTCTGGATTAAGAAAAATTAAATTCGAAGAATGTGCCACACTTCTTTTTTATTCTTTCATTCGTGTATTAAAGTAATAAAAAAACAAATAATACTCTCTATGTACAAAATAACAGTTTTTTTTACAAATGACTAATGAGATTGAAGTTCGCAAAGGTTTTTCGAAACATTTACAAATGTATTTTTTTAATATTAAAAATAAATTTTTTTTATCAGTTAATTTATCTGCAAAGATTAAGAAATTAACTAATTTCAGATATTAAATTAATAATAAATACTTAAGAGACAGTTAACTTTTTTAACTCAATATAACTTATATCATCTCAATTTTTTTTGGTTTTTAAAAATCTTGCGGACTTCAGACTCTCTGACTAACATTTTCCCTGCTTTAAAAAAAAGCTCACTTTCTTTTTCTACCGGGAATTAATTTTTTTTCTTTGCTTTTTCCTTTTTTTTATTTCCCCAAAATTTTGAACGTTCAAAGGAACGAAATTTGTTACCGACAAGTTCTAAACGTTCAAATGAACGAATATTACTATCTTTAATATAATATTAAGAAAAGAAGTAAAGTTAAACAAATATAAGGTTTATTTTTCTTATACGTAATGCATTATTGTAATAAAATTTGATAAAAGAAATAATACAATTCGTACAACTGAACGTTTAGAACTTTAGGGACATTTTTTTCAACTAAAACATTTGAAAAAATTATTACACTGATTTAAAAAAATGTAAAATTTAATTAGTTTAGGAATTTAAATTCTTAATATACAAAATTGCATTTTTAATGGAGCGCGTGAAAATTTGAGAGAATTTTATTAAAAAAAAATTTTCCTATAGCTGAATTAATCTTAAAAGAACATATTCAGTGGTAAATAACGATGTCAATTTATAAAGATATGCGTACTAATAACACGATTTGAACCAGTAATCTCTAACATTCAGAGCTTTAAACGTGTACTGTGTCATGTCGAATGTGCATCAGATAATAAAAAAATTAAAGAAATGATGAAGTGAATGCACAAATATATGCATTAATATAATAATTAAATCAGTAGACATATACTTCCTAAACAGTACAATTCCAATCCTATACCCTGTTACACAAGAGAATGCTGTCGTAAAAAGACGAATTTTCGTTCAGTAAGGGAATTGATACTATTCGCTAAATTTTTTATTTTAGACGGCCCATTTTCACAAACAAAAATTTAATATTAACTGTTTTTTTTACTATTACATACCATATCAATTGTAGCATAATTTAAAATAAAGTCATTTTGATTCTATACTTAGAAAGAAAAATTAAATATCAGTAGAATCGTCAAAAATAATAGACTCCAAATATGTTGGTAAAAATTTATTAATTTTAATATTTTATTGCCTCTACTTTTTTATATTGGTATCCTCATAAACGTGGGTCGCTAAAACATGTGTCAAAAAAGCTTGGTTTCTAGATGAGATATTACAATGTAAAACTACAATTAGTAGGCAAGATTTTCATTGGCTATAGGATTTTTGGAAAATACCATTTTAACATTTTTCTCCACCCTTTAAGAAAAAAAAACTGCGCGTCGAAAAGCATTCTCTCGTGGAACAGAGTATAGAAGGGCATATTCTGAGGTAAAAGATAAAGTCAATGCACAAAAATATGCATTTACGTTCTAATGAAATCAGTAGACGTTTACTTCCTGAACAGCACTGTTCCAATCTTAGAAGGACATATGTTAAAGTAAATTATGAAGTTAATGCACGAAGATATGCTCTTACGTACTAATGAAATCAGTAGACGTTTACTTCTTGAATAGCTCAGTTCCAATATTAGAAGAACACATTCTAAAGTAAAAGGTGTAGTCAATGCATAAAGATATGCATTAACCTAATAATGAAATCAGTAGATCTATACTTCCTAAACAGCACAGTCCCAATCCTAGAAGGACATATTAATAAAATCATTAGATATATACTTCCTTAACAGTACAGTTCCAATCCTAGAAGGACATATTCTGTGGTAAATGATGAAGTCAATGCATAAAGGTATGCATTAACATAATAATGAAATCAGTAGATCTGTACTTCCTAAATAGCACAGTCCCAATCCTAGAAGGACATATTAATGATATCCTTAGATATATACTTCCTTAACAGTACAGTTCCAATCCTAGAAGGACATATTCTGTGGTAAATGATGAAGTCAATGCATAAAGGTATGCATTAACATAATAATGAAATCAGTAGACGTTTACTTCCTGAACAGCACAGTTCTAATATTAGAAGGACACATTCTAAAGTAAATGGTGTAGTTAATGCATAAAGATATGCATTAACCTAAAATGAAATCAGTAGATCTGTACTTCCTAAATAGCACAGTCCCAATCCTAGAAGGACATATTAATGATATCCTTAGATATATACTTCCTTAACAGTACAGTTCCAATCCTAGAAGGACATATTCTGTGGTAAATGATGAAGTCAATGCATAAAGGTATGCATTAACATAATAATGAAATCAGTAGACGTTTACTTCCTGAACAGCACAGTTCTAATATTAGAAGGACACATTCTAAAGTAAATGGTGTAGTTAATGCATAAAGATATGCATTAACCTAATAATGAAATCAGTAGATCTATACTTCTTAAATAGCACAGTCCCAATCCTAGAAGGATATATTAATGAAATCAGTAGATCTGTACTTCCTAAATAGCACAGTCCCAATCCTAGGACATATTAATGATATCCTTAGATATATACTTCCTTAACAGTACAGTTCCAATCCTAGGACATATTCTGTGGTAAATGATGAAGTCAATGCATAAAGATATGCATTAACCTAAAATGAAATCAGTAGATCTATACTTCCTAAACAGCACAGTCCCAATCCTAGAGAACATATTATCGAAATCATTAGATATATACTTTCTTAACAGTACTGTTCCAATCCTAGAAGGACATATTGTATGGTAAATGATGCAGTCAATGGACATAGGTATACTCGTTAGACATTGTAAAGAAAGTAAATGACAATATTGTGTCGTTAGGGAAGGCGAAGCTAGAATCATATCCTGACGCGAAACATTATTTCTATTTATCAAGCATTGGATGAATTACCGGTCAAAATGGAAATCGTAGTGGGATTTCCAAATTATGACTTTTGACAAAAGTAAAAATTCAACATGTCGTAGTTGGTGGTTTTTTAGTCTGTTAAGTATAATTTCCCTTAAGGGGATGTCAAAGTCAAATAGATTTTTGCATTGAGCTTCAATGGGAACATCTCATCGACTTTCACATCGTCTTAAGAAAAGATTCAAGTTTATTTAAAATCGATATAAAAATATTCAGATATACGAAAATTTTTTCTTACAAAATTCTGTGGGCTGGGAGTAGGTCGCCAGCTTTTTAACCATTTTTCATTATATTTATTTTGTTATATATTTTCTTTTTTTTATTATACCAACCCCATAAACCTTGGAGTGCGGAATCCAAGGTATCTGTAGGCAGATTTCCCAAAATTCCCTAAGCAAAAAAAAAAAATTAAAAGTAGTAATAAAAATATATTGAATCATTTGAACGTTCAAAATTTTAAGGACATTTCTTTTTTTTTGTATTTTTTTGAAGAAGTTGCACATTTTGTCAATTCAATTTCATTTAATGACATTACTTTGGCTTTTCTCCGTTCGATACCTTTAGCAGCAAGAGACACTCGAATTTAAAATTACATGGCGACTTCACAGAAAAAAATCTTGTCTGAAATGATTTCATTTTTGAAATACAATTAAAAGAGAGAATAAAAATATTAAAAACAGAATGTTTCTGTTTATTACAAATTGTTATGGAATCATTCTACGTACAAAGTCATTGTCGAAGAATTTTTTTTAATAAATTATTTCACTTAAAAAATATAAAAATACCTTGAGAATTTTTTTTTTGGTTTTAATTTCTCGACTTTGTACCTAATGTAGTGAATGATTCTCTTTAAAATTATAAGACTCAGTTCCGCACGTTTTTAAAAGTGAAATTGTTTGGAATTTGAATTCATTTATTATTTTAGGTTAAATTTATCATTTTTGGAGTAAAAATACAATTGAAATAAAAAGATCCTTGAATTCCTTTTGTTTTGAAAAACGTTACGGACTTGAGCCTTAATCAAAAATTTAGAAATTTTCTGCGATGTTTCCAATTCTCGTTTAATAGTTTCTTTTCTAAAAAGAAGTAAAGAAGTACTGATTAAGAATAAATGTTTCAAGATTCAAATAAAGAATCTTTTCCAGTTTCATGTTTCCAATTTTTCCTTCTGCAAGCAGTTGTTCGTTTCTTCTGCATGGCAGAATTGTTCAGTTTTTTAAAAGCGCACAGAAATAGATGAAGAAAAAAAAGGAGTAAACGAGATTTAAGAAGGAAGACCTTCAATCTCATGAACAGTTGCATGACCGTTGGTAATTTCTACGGGAGATTTGGGACTTTCGTTGGCGTCTGTTGGACCACTCTCATTGCTACTGCTGCTATCACTCTCGCTATCGACACTCGAAATAGAGCTATTTTGTCTGTGATTTTTGTCAAGTCGTCCCTGATACGAAACCGGAACTGGTGAAGATTCGGGACTCCTTTGAGAACAATTGCCCCTACTCTGATTATCATTACTCGAACTACTGTCGCTATCACTCTCGCTGTCGACGCTCACACTTTTGTGCCTCTGCCCACGCAATGATTCATTCTCCCTCTTGAGCTGTTCATTCTGCTGGATAAGATCGTCGATTCGTTGTTGGAAATTTTTCAATTTTTTCGCCGCCTCTAAATCTTGTATCGTGCCATTTTTCGATTCTGCTTCCTTATTATTATCATCGTTTGAATGCAAATTTTTCGCTCTCAATCGTTTCGTTAGCAGATCGACTTTTGCCTCGAGTTGAATGTATTCTTGAATAAGTTGTGCTTTGGTCATTGATCCAAGTCTCTCGGCATGAAGATCCTCGTAGGCGGTTTTAAATTCTTTAGTGAGAAATTCCTCTTCGTCTTCGGGCGATGAATAAAAGAAATCCTCATCTGAATCAATGCTGAAACTTGAATCGCGTGTACGTGGGGGCGCTGAGGGCTTTTGAAATGAACGCGGTATGTCGGAGGCACTGGCGCTGGCTAATTTTTGTTCCAGATCGGGAAGATCGTTGTGGTCCTCGATTAAAAACTGATTTGTATTGTAGGGAGCTGGAGGTTGTCGTCCAGTTTTTGTTGGCCTGCCAATTCGATTGCGAATTCTCTGCTGATAGGAGGGTTGTTGCTTTGAGTAGGGCTTCAATTTTCGATGTTTCGGTTTACCGCGACGTGTTTTTCGCTTTTTTGCCGCAATATCAACTCCATCCTCGGTGTGCATTCCGTCCTGATCTCCGCTCCCGCTTCCGCTCTCGAATTTGCCGCATCTTCTCACAAAAGGTTTCTGTTGGAAAATATTATTCATTATTAACTTTTTCATTTATTGCTAATGAAGAAAAAAATATATGTTCAGGGTGGTCACAAGTTTCAGTTTATTAATTTTCCTGACAATTTACTGACATTAAAATTATTTTCCCTGACAAATTTCATTTACAGAAAAATATGAAAGTTTACGGGAAAAGAGTAAAATTTATTGAAATTGAATAATTTCTAAAAAATTACAACTATAACTAGTTTGTTCTTTCGCAAAAACAAAAAATATTGCTTCAAAGTTTTCTAGTTTAAAAAAGTACCTTGAACGTATTCTTAACTCCCTAGGTAAATGAAAATAGAGAAATTTTTATCACTAAAAACCCCAAATAATAGTTTTCAACGCTAAGCGTCGACGCTAACTTCAGGGACATAAAGAATTAGTAAAATTATTTTCAGTAATTTTAATGACTGCAAAGCTTCTCTTTCATTCTGAATTAATAAAAAAAAATACTAATTTCAATCAGTAAAATATTCTACTAATTTGAATAATTTTTCCCCAAAAAAAATAGTAAAAGAATTTTGAACTTCTAAATGAAAATAGTTAAATTCAGAGAACTGACCAAATAATTTATCGTCACTTGAGCGATAACTGGTTAAAATACAATTTATTTAAATCAATAACGAAAATTATGTTCTGTTATTTGAATAATATTTATTTGCTAAAATAGCAGACCTCGGATCGATTTCAAGTGTTTCAAGGCACAAGAAAAGTCGCATTACTCGAAGAAAAGTACAAAAGAAAAGTCGAAAAATTAGTTTAAAATTAGTTTATTTTATTCGGTGTTGTCACAAAAATTTAATTTTGTACTTCCCTGACCTTTCACTAATTTCTAAATTCAATTATTCAAAATTCAAAATTTCAATAACTTTTTTATATAAATATTTAAATATTTGCTATTTATTATTCCACAAAAATTAAAATTTTTTAAATTGTAATTTCAAAACTTTTGAAATTTAATTACCTAACTCTAAAAATTAAAAGTTCTGTGATTTTTCCAAAAATGAATTATTTTCTAGAATTTCAAATTAAACTTGTCCTCTAAATCAATTATTTAAATACAAAAATTCAATTTATTGTTTATAATAATTATAACTCTTAATTGTTTTTTTTAAGTTATTAAAATCAATTGTTGAAAATATGTAATTAAAAACATTGTAAATAAATTAAATAATATTAAAAAACAAAAAAAAATTCCTAAAATGATTGATTTCTAAAATTATTTTTAAACAAAATAAAATTTTTGAAATATAATAAATTTTCAAATTACATGGAATTGAAAAATTTCTAAATAATTGAAAACATTTTTGCACAATTTAAAAAAACTAGACAACTTTTTAAGAATTTTATTCAAAATTTTAAAAAATGATTGATTTTTATTCTAAAACCTAGTTTTTAGAAAATATATTTTTTTTAAAGAACTTGAATGTCGATATTTTAATTTTTGGAAATATATAATTGAAAATAATTGATTTAAAAAATTGTAAAAATTACATTTCTTAAAAAAATTTAAATATAATTTTATATTATTAGGTAAATAAATAATTTTCTGAAGCTATAATTTTTATTTCATGATTTTTCACCAAAATTTTGAAAAATTCGAAAATTTTCAAACTTTGTTATTAAAGATCTTTGAAATTTAATTTTTAAAAATTTTAATGAAATTATTTAAAAAATCGATTACGTTTAATAGAATTTTAAAAAATTTAAATTATTTAAAATTTGTTTAATCATATATTTCGAAAATTATTGACTTTTTATAAAACAAATTTAGGGAATTTAAGAAACTAATCAATTTTTAGAAGAATTTTATTTCAAAATTTTGAAAATTATTGATTTCTCCAAAATTTCAATAATAATGTCAAAAAATAGATTTTTTTAAAAATATTTAATAAAAATTCTTTTTAAAATATTTGAAAAAAATATATTTTTCAAAAAATATTTTAGGTTAAATTTTGTAGATATTTGAATTTTCGGAAATATAAAATAATTGAAAATATTGAAAACAATTGAATTTTAAAAAATTGCAATGAAAATGCTCCTAGAATTACCATTTAAAAAAATATATTTTAAGAAAAAATCTGACGGACAGTCAAAATAAAAGTTAGTCCAATGTCATAACTTTGTATTATTTTAAAAAAGAAATATAAATAAATTTTGAATTTGTTTTGTAAAGAATTTAATTTTCAACATTTTAAACAATTAAAAGGGCATTTAAACGAAAGTTACAATTTTTTTGTCAATTAGAAATAAATTCAAAATTTATTTGTATTTTTCTTTTAAAATACAAAAATTATATGACATTAGACTAACTTTTATTCAGATTTTGTTTCTCGTATTCTTTTCCTTAATTTGAGTCATTTTGCACTAAAAAAACGTTTAAAAAATTTGTAACTTCTAAAAGAAACCGTTAAATTTGAACAACGGACCAAATAATTATCGTCACTTGAGTCATAATTGGTTAAAAATAAAATAAAATTTCTTCAAATCAATAACAAAAATTTATGTTCCGTTATTTGCTAAAATAGTCGCAATTATAATCATTTATTCCAATTAATATTTGCTTATTTTATTATTTTTAAATTGCGAGCATTTATCATCAGCAATATTGAATGAAAAAAATATTCAGTTATTAATTCTAATTTTTCAATAACTTGAAATGTCATATAATATAATATAAAATGCTAAGTTTCCATGACTTTCACTTATGTTGTTTTAATTTACGCTCTTAACATCTGTTTCACAGTTGTTGACATTACACAATCAAAATAAATGAAAGAAGAAGGAATTCAATTTTGATATACCAAACATAATAGTAAAATAAAAATAATAAATAAATCCGTTAAAGTCAAAACTATTAAATTAACATGAAAAAGGGAAATTTTAGATAAGATCGAAATTAACTGTTTTCAAACTAATGTCTATATAATATTAGATGTAAATTAATACAAAAGACATCATAAATAAATCTACTGCTTGAAACTAGTTATATTAAATTAATCAGATTAAATTTACTGACAATTAGCGATTAAATTCTGTTTGAAAAAACCAATGTCCTAAAATGTAAAAATTAAATAATATTCAATATTTTAATTAAATTCTAATTAAATTAAAATTTTGAAGCAATTACAACTCTATTGAAATTTTACTTTGATTGTAATGTAGTTACAATTTTACAGAATAGTAAATAAAATAAATAAATCCGTTAAAGTAAAAACTAAATTTTAAATTATTTTAATTAAAATTATAATTTAATTAAAATTTTAATAAAATTGCAATTTAATTTCTGCCTTAAAATAAGATTCACTTTGTGACTGAAAATAATATTTCTAAAGTTTAGAACATTCAAATGAACGAATCAATAAAAATTTGATGTGTCACGTTTTAAAAAAAATTATGTAATTATAAACTTTCTAAATGTTGAATTAATTAATAATAATGAATTAAATATTGAATTAAATAATAATAATTAATAATTTGAATTAATAATAATAATTTATTTAATTTTAATGAAAAATTGACTCATATGTTCAAAACTTGTGGATCACTATTGTTGAAAATAAAACTTCCTGGTCACAATGATAAGGACAAAATATTTTCTTTTTAATTATCCATTGATTAATTGACTTGAACAAGTGACAAATGTAAAAAAGCAATATATAATTTCTCATTCACAATATTGATTGTCAATCGAAAAGGTTGCCATATCATCCATCCTGAAATATCTGTTCCTGACATTTAAAATGTCACCGTTTCATGTGTGTGTATTTTTAAAATTTCAATTCATAAGTTAATAATTAAAAAAGCATTAATAACGAGTTACAACTCGTGACTATAACAAGTATAATAATTCTTTAACACAAAAAAAAATTAAACTGAAAGATTGAAAGAGCGAATATTTTTTAACACATTTAGTGTTTAAAATTTTTAAAAAATTTAAATTTTCATAAATTCTTAAAATTAAATAAAAATTATTAAAATAAAACAAATCATGACTTTACTGACCCAAGACAATAATTGTTACGTGTAAGGAAAATTTCATCAATGTTTTTATATTTCGATTTGCTTTTTTTATATCGTGTTATTCAACGTAGTTAAAATAATAACTTGTTAATGTTAAAAGTAAATAGTTAAAAACTAGTTAAAAATAACTACTGCACTAGATAATTACTTTTAAAAAAGTAGCAAAAAGGAGCTTTAAGAATGAAAAAAGTACTAAAAAGTCTTTAACGAAAAATTAAATTTGACGATTGAAAAAAACTTGTTTCAATCGATTCACAAAAATTTGATTCAGTATTTCCCTGACTTTTGGAAAATAATAAATAACTAATTTGTTATGTTAAATATTTAAATAATACAGTTTTACAAAAATCAAAATTTTCAAAGACAAAACATTTAAAAATCTTTTGAAATTTAATTATTTCTAAAAAACTTTATATTATAAGCTTCTATAGTATTCAATTTTTATCTAGAATTTTTTCTTAAATTATTTTTTAATTCAATATTCTTGTTAGATACTTTCTAGGAGAATTAAATTATTTAAATACAAAAATAAATAATTGATTGAATAATTGATTATTTCTTAAAATTAAATGTTTATAAAATATTTTCTCAAAATTTAAAACAAAAAAAGTCGTTATTATTTAATTCAGTGTTGCAACAAAAATTATATCTTACTACTGTAATTATTGTCCATGTTTTTTATTTAAAGTTATATTTAATAAAGAAACTCTTAAAATTAATTTATGTTAAAAATATTTTTAAACAATTTTTTAAAGATGTCTTTCAATAAAATTATACATATAGTTAAAAAATTTCCAAATAATTAAATTTTAGTAAAATGTTCTAAAAATAATTAAAATTTGATAAAATCTTTTTAAAATAATTGAATTTTGGTAAAATCGTTTAAAAATAATTGAAATTTAACAAAATTTTATAAAAATAATTGAATTTTTGAAAAATATAAAATAAATAATCAAATTTCTGAAGAATTTTAATTATAAATATGAACATGATTTTTAAGAATTTTTAATAAGAATTAAAAAAGTAAATTTATAAAAAATTTAATTTACTATCTTCGAAGATAATTATTGATTGTTTAAAAGTTATGATAAAACAATTCTAAGAATTATTAGTCAAAAAAGTCCCATTGTTGGAAAATAGTCGAAAAAGTCGCAATTTTTTAAAAATCAGTGAAAAAAACTCGCATTTTTGGAAAAAAGTCGAAGAAGTCGCAATTTTTGAAAATAAGCCAAAAAAGTCGCATTTTTTGAAAATAGTCGAAAAAGTCATAATATCCAAGACCTATATTTTAAATAATTGGAAATCTGTCAAAATGTTATTATTTATGAAAATAATTCAATTTTTTATAAAGAATTTTATATAAATTTTTTTTCAAAATAATGGAATTCTTTTGTGAAATTTTATTAAAAAAGTAGATAATGAAGATAATGGAATTTTAGCGAAGAATTTCTTTATTTGGAAAAATTGAATTCTTGCCAAAAATGGGGCCGTTCAAAAAATACGTAACGCTATTTTTCGGAAACTTGGACCCCCCCCCCATGTAACGCAATGTTGTATACATTAGCGCCATTTTTTCTGCTGACCGTAACAAATAGCTCGACCCCCCCTCCCCCCAAAAAGCGTTACGTATTTTTTGAACGGTCCCAAAGATTGTCAGAAAATTTTAAAAAATACATTAAATCGTTAATTTCATTAAAATTGTTTAAAAATGTTTCTAAGAATTCTATTAAAATTTTTGAGAATAATTTCATTATTTCAATTATTAGCTGATGTTAAACTAATATAATTTGTGCAAAAAAAAGGAGAAAAATTGCTTACAGTGGCAAAAATATAAAAAAGGTATCAAAATAGTAGCAAGTTGTAAAAAAAAGTAGTAAACAGTAGGTTTTAGTAGATGATTGCGAAGCATAAACATTTCGGTACCATCGAGATTATTCCAGAAATAAAACACTTTTTAAAATTAATTATCATAGAACTAAATATGGTGAAAATTCTATATTTACTTCAGAATTTGCAGTGAAGCAAATACTTTTCGTATAGCAACTTAGATTTCTTTACCTAATCATTAAATACTTTCATCATTGCTTTACGTTTATGGATTTATGATTTATAAACAATTGGCTACCTACCTTAATACTAAAAACTATTCTTATTTCTTATTATTCTTTTTCTAGTCATTTTTTTCAGATCACTGTATTTAATTTTAAGAACTATTTTTACTAAAAGGCATTTTTTTCAAGTCCGTCTATATTTACTAAGAATAAAATATCTAAAAAATTTAAAAAATGCTTCAATTTTTTATTTTTCTAATCATATTTTTTTTATTCGTTTTACAATTGGATGGAATATTGTCTACTTTATTTTTTGCAATTTATTTTCCTGTCATGCAGTGTGTTTTGTTTTTCCAATTATTCATATAGTCAAAGTAAATTTTGAAACTACGTTCATATTCTTTGTTTAGCAAATTTTATCAATAAAATTATTTTTTTGCGTAATTATATTTAAAAAAAATTGTTAAAAATATTAGTCGTTTGAAAAACGTATTGATTGTAATAAAATTTGGAAAGAAGAATTTTTTTTGCAAAGTCTGTTACGAAAATTTTTGAAAGAAAAAAATAGCAGAAAATTCAAGTGTAGAAGAATCGAAATATTTAGTAGTTCTTTTTTCTAAATAGTAATTTTTGAATAACATGTAAAAAGTGTATTTTTTTTTAAAACAAAAATAGTTATTCTTACGTGTCTATAGCTGTCGTCAATTTGACACCTGGAAACGGTGTTTTCACCGGCAGAGAGCGGCACTGTCTTCGATGTCGAGGAAACGGTTGTCGATGCCGCGCTGAGCGTCGGATCCGCCTGTACGCCTTTTTCGTCACCGAGCTCATCAACGCCGCCCGAACTTTTTTCACCACTCAATTCATCCTCATGCTCCTCCATATTCGTAATATTATGCAAAATACGTCTATTCGCGATGGCACGAGCACTCATCACCGTCACAATATCAATAACACTGTTTAATTAAACTTGAACACAAGAACTAAGAGCCATATGCATTTACCGTAAACAGCGACTGAATCGCCATGTTTGATTTGTTCCGTGATTCCGTGCGATAGCGAAGCGCAGCATGTTACCAAATGGTGGGGGCAATTTCACCCAAGTGGGGGAACTTTATTCTCCCTCTTCCTTCCTTCATCTCTTTTCTCACATACAGACACACACACACTAATACACTTAATATTGTTTGCTATGGTTTTGTTAATATTTTCGAGAGTTAAACATTCATTACGCATGTTCATTGCGTCCTTATGGTACAGTCACGGTATTTCAATATTGTAGTCTCTTTATCTTACTAAAGTCCCTCTCCCCCCTTTAACCCCCTCGCGCCCTAACATAATTCTAACTTCATTTGTGTCATCTTCTTCTTCCCCTCGGTTCCCCTCCAAAACCCTACCACACACAACACCATAATAACTGCAATCGTTCACAACGTTCACTACATTGTGTGTGTGTCTTTCTCACTTGGATATATTAGTTTTTTTTCCGTCTCTCACTGTCTTCCTAAGTCTTTCTTTTTTTGGCTCTGGTAATGTCCAGTTTTCTTTTTTCTCCTCTTCACTGAACATTTCTCTTTCTCTCTCTCTCTCTCTCTCATTCTCTTTCTTTCTCCCTTTTTATTTTGTACTTAGTGCCCTACGTTTTGGCCACAGCTGGTTTTTCTTATTTCTTATCCTATACACTATACCTGTCATGCCAGTAGGAGCCGTTTTAAAAAAGAAAAATGAAATTCAGTTATGTGCAGAGACTAAAGGGCCTATAAAACTTCCATACGAAATATAACCCGATTGCCAATTATTATTGTTCGGGGAAAATGCGAGCAAAATGTTCAATTTCAAAGTGAAGAATCGGTATTGTGTTTTTTTTTAATCAATTATTATATAACTTTGGAAATTTTATGATTCTCATAACCATAAAATCGATTGATCCATATTCGGAAATTTTCATTTCATTTATGTATCCAATAATTGTACGGTTGTGGCAATCGTATAGTATAAATAATGTGACAACAAAAATAGACATGTATCTCGGAATCTGAATTAGTAGAAAATTACTAATTAGGGGTCGTTCATAAATTACGTAAGACATTTAGGGGGGAGGGGGGGGGGTCTTCAAGTTCTTGTAATGAATTAATAATTTTTGACTAAAAATTAGTAATACTAATTTATTTAATAAACTATTCGGTGCTGTTGAATTAGTCAAAAGTGACTACTTAATTTAAAATAGAGAGATTATTTTTATATTCGTTAATTGAACATTTTGTTATATTATTAAATATCTATTACTATTATATATTACTATATTATATTTTTCTAAATCTGAATTAGTAGAAAAGTTACTAATGACAAAAAGTTGTCCACCAAATGATTTAGTAATAATTTTACTAAAAATTAGTGAAAATTTACTAATTGTTAGTCAAATTTTACTAAATGATTAGTACAATTCTACTAATTGATTAGTAGAATTCCATTAATTAGTAGAACTGTTTGTCTGTTTTGTTCGTAGTCGATAAAGCAGTTTCCCTTATTTATTTAGTGAAATAAATAACTAATTTGTGGAATTTTACTAAATGTTAATCAAGTTTTACAAATTAGTAATAATTTTACTAACAATTAGTGGAATTTTACTAATTGTTAATTGAATTTCACGCAAATTAGCAATAATTTCTCTAACAATTAGTCGAATTTTACTAATTAACAATAATTTTTACTAACAATTAGTCGAATTAGAAGTAAGTAGAAGAGTTTTATCTATAGTCGATAAAACAGTTTCACTGATTTATTCAGTGAATTAAATGACTGGAAATTAATGGAATTCTACTAATTTTTAGACGAATTTGACTAATTTTTTTTAGAAAAGAAATTCTTTGAATTTTTTTCCATTAAAAATTTTAAAAATTCAATTATTTTCAAAATTTCTCAAAAATATAATTCCGAAAATTCAAATGCATAGGTACAAAAAATAATACAAACATTAAAAGTTTTCAGAATTATTTTTAACATTTTAAAGAAAAAGAATCATTGTAAACATTTTTTATTAAAATTATTCAAAAAATTAGTTTTTTTAAATTATACAAAAATGCTTTTAAAAAATTCAATTATTTTTGAAAAATTACATTAGAATATTTTTAAAAAACTAATTATTACAGTTTGTTTTATCACAATTTTTCAAGATTTACTTATCTACCAACAAAGTAAAGTAAATTTTTAAAAAATTTATTTAAAAATTTACTTTTTTAGAGTCTTATTAAAATTTCAGAAAAAATCATGTTTATATTTATAATTAAAATTCTTTAAAAATTTGATTATTTATTCTATATATTTTTCAAAAATTAAATTATTTTTAAAAGATTTAGTCAAATTTCAATATTATTTTTAAACGATTTTACCAAAATTCTATTATTTTAAAAAGATTTTATCAAATTTCAATTATATTTTAAAAAGATTTTACCAAAATTCAATTATTTGGAAATTTTTTAATTTTTGTTTATTTTTATTTTTGTATATATACATATAATTGAAAGACGCATCTTTAAAAAATTATTTTAAAATATTTTTAACAAATTAATTTTAAGAGTTTCTTTATTATAATTTTTAAAAAATATTATGTCTTAATAACTTTAAAAAAACATGGACAATAATTACAGTTACAAGATAAAATTTTTGTTGCAACACTGAAATAAATAAACGACTTTTTTGATTTTTTTTTGTATTTTTAATCGACTAAAGCGACTTTTTTTTGTTTCTTAAAGTCGATCCAAGGCCTAAAAATACAATTTTGTTTTCATTCAATTTTTTGAGAATTTAAAATAAATTCACTCAAAAAATGCAATTATTCTTAAAAAATTTTTTTTCAATTTTTTTTAAAATTATGATAAAATACTATATATAGAAATTCAATTTTAAGAAATAATGAATTTTCCAATCCATTATTTATTTTTGTCTTTAAATAATTGAATTTTCATATAGAACTTTCTATTAAGAATTTGTTTAAAAATTAATTTCAGTTAAAATTTTAGAATTTACATTTACTTTAAAGTCAGCTAATAATTATTGAAATAAATAAATTATTCTCGAAAATTTTAATAAAATTCTTTGAAACGATTAAATTATTTTCCAAAATTTTAAGGAAATTTTTTTTGGCAAAAATTCAATTATTCTACTAAGCAGTTAGTAAAATGTAATTAGTTGTTAGTAAAGGTATTACTAAATCATTAGGTGGATGACTTTTCGTCATTTCATATTAGTAACTTTATACTTTAATAATTCTAAAATAAATTTTTATTCAAATAATAAAATATAATCTCTAGAATCAGTTAAAAATTAATAACTGATGTAGAAGCATAAATAGTCAGTCACTAATTCAAATAGTATAATACTTCTACTGATTCAATATTTACTCAAGATTAACTAATTTTTCAGTTATTTTTTTTTTTTTTACTGAAAATTAGTTATTTATCACTGAAAATTATTTTTATTTGATTCAGAAGCAAAAAGTCATTCACTGATTGGCAGTTAAAACTATGATTTTTAAGTGATTAAAATTTAGAGAGTATATCATATTTTTAATTATTATTGTTCAATATTCAGTATTAATAATAATAAAAAATAATAATATAATAATTATTATTATATTGAATTTTAAGGTATACGCACAAAAATGTTTACACAACTGAAATCATTGAAGCGTACATATTTATTATTATAGTAACAGTAATAAATAAATAAAAACAAACATGCCTCTTTCCTGCTTGTACAAGGATTACAAATAGCCAAAAATATAGCAGCAATTAAGAAAACGAAAACTTTCCTACAGTAACAATAATATATTTATTCTGTATTATTACAGATAGACAAGTGATTCTGCAAAAAAAAATTCTATTTGTTAAAAAGAAAATACATCTAGAATTATTTACTATTTAGTTGACGGAAATTAATGAATACCTTTTGCAAGAGTTGATTATTAAAAATTCATCAACAGAGTATAATGACAATATGAAATAATATTTCCCCTCTATGTGAATTATTAATTTTAATAAACGATATAAATAAAAGAAAAATACATTTTTCTTGCTTTTCCTTCACCAAGAAGTAATACACATTTAGCAAAAATAGAATTATAACAGACTTTTTCTTTCGGATAGAGAAAGAAATATTTAAGAAGGTTTTAACCTTGAATATTATAGAACCTGTGTTCAAGAAAGGAATCGTCGTCCTATATGTATACATATACAATTTTAAGGCATACGCACAAAAATGTTTACACAACTGAAATCATTGAAGCGTACATATTATTTTTATATATATAAATTTATTTTTAGTCACTAATTTTTTCGCTGCATCATTTTCAATAACAAACATTTAAACTCACATTATAAAATTTTGCTCTTTTATTTCTGGAATTAAAAAACATTTCGTTTTAAGAATGTAATAATTCGCAGAGAAAAAACAAAGTTTGTCAAATTGTTTACATCTTAAAAGCATAAAATGCTAGATTAAGGTTTTAATTAAAATTATGTCAATTTTAGGATTTGAAATCCTATTCAAAAGGCTAAAATTCAGACGCAAAAATAGTTCCAAACGTTTTAAGTCAAAATTGATGAATTTTTAGAGAAATTTTGAAATTTTGCAAAAATTCAATTATTTTCAAAAGTAATCAAATTCTTCGCAGAAATAATTATGATCAAAATTTTTTCAAAATTGTCGTCAGAATAATTCAATTATGTTTAGAAATAATAAAATTCTCCTCCAAAATTCAATAACTTTCAAAAATTTTAATAAAGTTCTTGGCAAAATTTTCAAAAAAATTTTTTTTTTCCCCAATTTAATGATTTTTAATTGTATCTATACTATTTTAATAAAATTTTTCAAGAGAATTAAATTATTTTTTAAAAAAAATTTTAATAAAATTCTACGCAAACCTTTAATTATTTTCATAAAATAATAAAAATTTCACAGAAATTCAATTATTTCCAAGAATAATAATGTTTTTCGCAAAAATTAAATGTTGTTCAAAAATAATAAAATTCTTCTTAAAAAAAGATACACAGTTAAATTTTTTTAATA